ACACAACCGTTCGCAGCGACTAAAAAGATCGATCGATCAAGATCGATAAGTAATCATGTACGTTTTATTTTATCAATCAAAAATTTTGTGTAAAGTGAGCTCATGCAAACAGAAATACTTATGTCGTAATTTTAACATCACTCTACTACTGCGACGTTATCGGCATTGAAGCTTGAAATATGCATGTACATTACCGGTGTTAGAATGAGGTATGGTCAAATTCCGCGGCGGTGTGGCTCAACGGGCTAAGCGTTAGGAATACGCTGGCCACCGCACCTCTAATTACTCTGCGTGGGTTCGCAGGTTCGAATCCCATGCAGGGATGGTTATGTGCGAGAGGATTGCTGGACTCCTCGCCGTCGTTGGGTGGTTCACGTAACCGCTGCCCGGTTACGGCTTCCTTCACCACCAAGAGCATGCTTTCGAAAAACAAACAATACAGTAAAACTAATCCCATACCCGACTTGGAATGCTACCGGACGAGAGGCCGTGGTTCGCCATATGGATAAGCCGTCTTATCGGCTTTCCTCTCCCCCGGGATAAATATGTAAATCCTATCCGACAACTTTTATTATGCAAACTACAGTTCATCAATTAAGGTTGTATCGCACCCAGTTTATAGCTATAAATCTTTAACATATTATAAGCTATGCAATTACGCCGCACCGACATTTTACAAGTTCCGGTATTTCAAATTTGTGTTCAAGAGTTATCGGTACACAATTGATGTGTGCTCAGAAAAGGTGAAAATTGAACCTTGCTATGGTGTGGCTAGAAACATGACGACAAGCTCTAAATCTACCCTCTATGATTTATGAATCACGACGGGCAACGGCGACTTACTCAAACACGAACACGCGGACAGGATGGCGTATGGTTGTGTAAGGGCGGGGTGTATGATGAAGGTGCGCTGTGTTTGATTAGTTTGTAAAGAATATAAAACATTGTAAAAGCGACCCTGCACGTAAGCGTGCGGTTTTCGCTTTTAAGATTAGACCCCTGGCTCGGAATCTTTAAAACGAAACATGTAGATGGGACTTGATCCAAATAGAAGTGGTATTTTTGCATCACAAATAAATTAACGAATCGACCAGATGTCTACAATTGTCTTCAAATATTTTTATATTTGCTTTTGCAGAATTCGGGACCAACACAACGTCAGTCGTTCTACAATGGCAGCAATCACTGAAGGTAATATTTCCTTATTTTGTGAGACTGCAGTCTGATTTTTCTGAAACATAGTTTTTCAAAACAAGAGAGTAGAGGAGGGTATATGTAATGAAACGTCTGAAAATGGGTTCAGAAATAAATATTTGCATTTATATAGAAATTGTTTCGAAATAGCAGAATTGTTGCAACAATGTATAAATATATTTTACATGGTCAGATTGTGTTCAAAATCTTTTTCGTTTCGAAGTCTGCAGACTTGATTTAAGTCCATTGTTCAATGTTAAGAATTTTTTCAAAGAAATTGTTAACTAAAGGAGATTTTTCAACACACAAAACACAAATAAATATTTGCTCATCATCTCACATACAAGGACAACTTTCTTCTCTTTTTAAATTACAGTTTACAGATTAACCAGTTGGTAAAATCGTTTGCTCCAGTTTTTGAACTCTTAAACATAAAGCTTACCTATATTGAAAAAGTTAACCCTTTCATTACCACCCAGTACGAGTATACTTATGTTTTTAGAACGATACAAGCAATGGAAGTAACAGTGTGTTTAATCATAATCATACTGGTAAGTAACATTCTACGGTATATTACAAAAAAGTATAAAATAAATGGATATTTGACGCTTTGGTTCTTCAAAAGTTATCCTGTATGATATGTGTACTAATCAATAACTGAATGAAACAGTTAGTTTTAAAAAGTTTCAAAAATTCAAAATTCCGTTTTTATAAATCCTGGCAGAAGGTGTGAAGATAATTTGAGGTGATTTAACATTATTGTGCAGGCGTAATACTTTCATAAACGCTTGAATGTACAAACGACCAGCCTGGTGAATGTAGATAAAACATTAGGATTTACGATCAAAATTCAATCAGTTCTAGTTATTGTTGGTATATTCAGGTTCGTTACTTAACTACTGGAAAAAAAAGCGAATAAACATTTATAAATAAGGAAATCATATCATGGTTAATTCCCTAATATATATTAACATTTCAGACACATTATATTAAATTGAGTATTCATGAAATACTTTACTTTAATAAGTTTAAAAACAAGTTTTTTTAATGGCAATCTTTGCCTATACATTATTATTTGGCGCTTGTGTTGAGTAATGAATTACTCATGTTCTAGGGATATCATCTTACTGGCTTGCTATGATGGCGGACGAGGAAGGATCTGGCATTGAAGTTACTACAAGTATGTGAAGTATTATTACTTATTGATTTTAATCGGTATAGGTATTTGTCTGTCTGTCTGTCCGCTGTTAGATGCACGCGATATCTCATGAAGGCGTGGTTGAATCTGCTCCAAATTTGCATGTGCATTTATTATATCTCGGACCAGTAGCCTATTGATTTTGGATGAATTATGTCGTATAATTAGCGAGTTATTAATTAATTAGTGACGAAGAGATCTGGGTTTTTACAAAGCGAGAGATTTTCGAGACGCGCTGAATGTGTGGGTGCGTGACACATTTATTTGACACAAAATATATGATTGGAAAATAGGCTATTGGCTGGAAACTAATCGAAACAATCCAGTTCGGATTTGCAGAATTCTTCATAAAAGTATTTCCTCGAGTAGTATTTCGACAACGAAATGGGGAGTTGGCTATTGTTTTCCTACATTTTTGATATTGGCTGATACCTATTCAAAACAATTCCAGTTCGGGTTTGCAGAATTTTTCGAATCGAAACCGCAGTTTCGTTTTGGGGGATCCCTAACTTTCGATCGATAAGTCTTCGGTCTCTGACTGATATTCTCGTTTTGTTCTTGATATAACTACGTCATAATTAGACATAGTTCACAATTATTGCAGTAATTTCCATTTCAGTTGTCTCTCTATTTTGTGTTGGTGTGCTTTTTTATTTTCCACTCCTTCAACTGCTTAACTGTTTTTACAATACAAATTTCAGTTTTTGAAACAACTGCAGCTGAATCACCACTGCTCCCTGAGTATACACACAGGCTACGGTAAGTTACCATTCCATGTCTGGTTCCCCCTTGGTGTTATCTTTTTTTGTACTGTGGTAAATTTTTGAACATCACATTTGCTCGTGTTACATTACGTCAACACGGTGGTTGTCAATAGCGCAGTTAAAAGAGAACTTTTGTGGAACCCAATTGTGAAATATGTGTTTCTATGCGCCCTATTAAAGCCTCGTATATTGTCCTACGATGTACTTTGTACAGCGACATTAACAAATATATTCTAATGTATTGAAGCAGGCACAATATTATCCCACATGTATATCCGGAGATTCTCGTAATAATCAAATTGGTATTATAAATATATTAAATTTATAGTAAGTCTTTTATATTCATTAGCAGAAGAAATGTCACTTCAGTTCCAATCAACGATCTATTTACAGGTTGTACCCGATTTGCCCAAGCGGATCAAACTGCCCCACTGCTGAAAGTCAGAGCATAAAAGCCACAACATTACATGCCATTAATATAAACTAAGCGTTTTCAACATAGCTTGGACCCAACGTACTTAGTGAGGTTTGTACCTCTAAATTTTGCAACATTTCCTTTTCACCAAAAGCTTCCCTCAAATGTACTGAGGCAGTTAATACAACAGTTACTTTTTAATTTATCGGCAAGATATAAATAGACTTTGGGTGTGTACTTTTCCAAGAGCCCGTTATATACTTCATTGTGGACTACAAAATAAGAAAAAAATTTTATTACTTGCAGAAAGTATATACATATTTGTACTATAAATATAGAGTATGCTGAAACAGTTACACTTTTACACGTTTACACAGTTACACGTTTATATTGTCAGCACGAAGAAGTAATTAAGCATAGAATACCTTCTCGACTGTGTTAACGAATTGCAGTTGTTCCACTTGATCAATGTCAAGTTTAACACTTTAATCAAACTTTTACGTTAATTTTAGATGAAGACACGACATTTCAAGAAACTACTGGTAAGCTCTACGTAATTTCTCAGTGTAGTACAAGAAAATATCTTGTAACAACCAACTTATACACAATATTCTCTTAGCCATTTGTCAGTCAGTCGGTATGAACAATGATGGCGTATACTTTATTGTACATGTAAGCTGATAAATTTGACCGACGAGTTGTTATATCGGCCTTGATGAATACTGCTTCATCTAAAAGCAATGGCGATTTAGACTTAAGTATTGCATTTAATTGGATATAGACCAAGACTGACATATGGGAAAGAATTTTTGTGTTGATTTCATGCCCAAGATCTGTCAGTTCAGAAAATGCATATTCAGGTACTCAGAACCTGCTATATTTTTTAGGAATTGCAGTAACGGTTGAAAGTACCACAGACTCTGACACAGCGACGACAATAGTTTCAGGTACATTGTTGTGCAATATTGTATATTTAAACAAGCGGGTCAGACGTTGTTTTATGAGGTTGTTACATAAGCTCTCATAAAGATGTTTGAATTAGTTTGTGGTTCATGCTGATAACAGCACTTAAATCGTGAGATGTACACACAAATTAGCTTTGAGGTAACCTTAATTACGATTAAACTATTATATTCAGGTTCTTATAATTTTTAATTAACTTAAATATTTCATAGAATTATATTATTTAAATTTCATTTGCTATTAGTTGTATTAGTCGATTTTATCAGTTTATCATTTTCTAATTTTCAGACGAAGACACGACAATTCAAGACACCACTGTGTGTATCATACGCGAATCAATATACATTGTGAAATATGAAAATAAAATAATAAGTGAAATTTTGGACATCTCAAATATTATGCAATAATACTTCCAATGAAAATTCTATGATAATAGTATATTTATATGTTTTTTTTCATTTTTCCAGAACATGCTACCACTGAAGAAAAAACTACAACAACATACGTTACCAGCACTGTGCCAGGTAAAAAAAAAACATAAACTAACTCCAAATAAACATTTTACATTTGGTATTAAAAGTACAAAAAAAACGAGGAACAAAATATTTTATGTTTGAAAACTCGACGCTCTGACGGTATTTTTCTAGATTTCGAATCCAATTCTGATTATTCATTAAGGTTATTTATCCAATTAATTCTTTATTTTAATTTTTATAAAGAGTATTTTCCAGTCTTTGATTTGGAAACTACACGACATTGTGCATTTTAACTTGGTCTCAAATTTTATTGAAAAATGCATTTCAATATTTAGTACCTCAGAACCGAGCAGACAACAACTGATTTTTCAAACAACTCAACCAGCAGGTAGGCTATTTAAAGTTAACATCAGTCACGATAAGTTTTTATATAAATATCATTGCGACCATAAATCATGGCTAAATTGTTCTAACTAACTTGCTTTTCTATAATTTATCATAATTAACTAGCTTTTTAAGAATGTTAACTCAGCATATCTATGTTTGCGCCCAATCTTCTTACCAGGTCTCATGTGTTCGTCTCATTTTAAAACCCAACCTTGAATACAAATGCATCTCATTTCCTTTAAAAACAAAGCGATGTACAAATCACAAATATACGAGTGTCCACTTTGTAAGGAAGAGAAAAAATCATTGCTATTCATCTTTCCTATGTATCCTGACAATTTATTACATCTTTGTGATTTTGTGGGTAGGAGACATGGAACTGAGATCTCTAATCTCAAAAGCCAATAAAGTAAGGTTAACAAGTTTTAGGCTTTTAGGCATTAATTTAACAAATATATTGATGTTAAATACCTTTGATTTCCTGTGCATTATGCGAAGCAAAGCTGAAAGATATTTTGAAAGTGACGCAGAGATTGAACTGCAAAATTCCCAATAACGTTGTTTACTTTAGACTTAGAGAATAACCTATGGTTTGCGTTGAAACTCTGCAAGTAAATTCAATGATATTAATTGTATTTAAATGGTTTTGATTTCGTTTCCCCAGAACAAGCAACCACTGCAGAAGAAACTACAACGGCATACGTTACCAGCACCGTGACAGGTAAAAAAAAACATTCGAAATCAAACTCCAAATAAATATTTTACATTTGGTATCATAAATACAAAAAAAAAAAAAGATTTTTTATTTATTTCATTTTTTCAGGAAAAGTGACCACTGGAGAAGAAACTACAAAGGCATATGTAACCACCACCGTGCCAGGTGAAAAAACATTCAAAATCAAACTCCAAATAAATATTTTACATTTGGTATCATAAATACAAAAAACAAAAAACAACAAAAAAGATTTTCATTTTATTCCTTCTTTCGGGACATTCAAAATGTAACTCAAATAAGTATTATACATTTGGTATCATAAATATAAAAAAAGAAAAACAACAAAAAGGATTTTTTATTTATTTCATTATTTCAGGACAAGTGACCACTGGAGAAGAAACTACGACGGCATATGTTACTACCATCGTGCCAGGTAAAAAAACATTTAAAATTGAATTCCAAATAACTATTTTGCAATTGGTATCATAAAAACGAAAAACAACAAAAAAGATTTTCGTTTATTTCCTTCTTTCGGGACATTCAAAATGTAATTCCAAATAAGTATTATACATTTGGTATCATAAATATAAAAAAAAGAAAAACAACAAAGAAGATTTTTCAATTATTTCTTTTTTCATGACAAGTAACCACTGGAGAAGCAACTACGAAGGCATACGTTACCAGCACCGTGCCAGGTAAAAAAACAAACATTCAAAATTTAACTTCAAATAAATATTTTACATTTGGTATCATAAATACTGAAAACGAAAAACAACAAAAGAGATTTTCATTCATTTCGTTTTTTTAGGAGAAGTATCCACAGAAGAAGAAACTACAATGGCATACGATGCCACCTCCGTGCCAACAGGTAGGCTACGTAAAGTTAACATCAGCTGACGACAAATTTCCATACAAATATCATTGCGACCATTAATCATGACAAAATGGTTTATAACTGGTATTATAACAATATGATCAGAAATATGAACGAAAAACAACGACAAAAAAGATTTTCATTTATTTCATTCTTTCGGGACATTCAAAATGTAATTTCAAATAAATATTATACATTTGGTATCATAAACACAAAAAAAAGAAAAACAACAAAAAAGACTTTTTATTTATTTCATTTTTTCAGGACAAGTAACCACTGGAGAAGAAACTACGAAGGCATATGTAACTCCCACCGTGTCAGGTAAAAAAATATTCAAAATCAAACTCCAAAGAAATATTTTACATTTGGTATCATAAATACAAAAAACGAAAAACAACAAAAAAGAATTTCATTTATTTCATTCTTTCGGGACATTCAAAATGTAATTTCAAAAAAATATTATACATTTGGTATCATAAATAAAAAAAATAATAAAAACAACAGAAAAGATTGTTTATTTATTTCATTTTTTCAGGACAAGTAACCACTGGAGAAGAAACTACGAAGGCATATGTTACAACTACCGTGCCTGGTAAAAAAACATTCAAAATTGAATTCCAAATAACTATTTTGCAGTTGGTATCATAAATACAAAAAAAAAATGAAAAACAACAAAAGAGATTTTCATTCATTTCGTTTTTTTAGGAGAAGTAACCACAGAAGAAGAAACTACAATGGCATACGTTGCCACCTCCGTGCCAACAGGTAGGCTATGTAAAGTTAACATCAGCTGACGACAAATTTCCATACAAATATCATTGCGACCATTAATCATGACAAAATGGTTTATAACTGGTATTATAACAATATGATCAGAAATATGAACGAAAAACAACGAAAAAGATTTTAATGTATTTCATTCTTTCGGGACATTCAAAATGTAACTACAAATAAATATTATACATTTGGTATCATAAATACAAAAAAAGAAAAACAACAAAAAATATTTTTCATTTATTTCATTTTTTCAGGACAAGTAACCACTGGAGAAGAAACTACAAAGACATATGTAACCACCACCGTGACAGGTAAAAAAAACATACAAAATCAAACTCCAAATAAATAATTTACATTTGGTATTATAAATACAAAAAACGAAAAACAACAAAAAAGATTTATTAATTATTTCATTTTTCAGGACAAGTAACCACTGGAGATAAAACTACAAAAGCATATGTTACTACCACCGTGCCAGGTAAAAAAACATTCGAAATCAAACTCCAAATAAATATTTTACATTTGGTATCATAAATACAAAAAAACGAAAAACAACAAAAACGATTTCATTTATTTCATTCTTTCGGGACATTCAAAATGTAAGTCCAAATAAATATTATACATTTGGTATCATAAATACAAAAAAAAAAAAAAAAAAAGATTTATTAAATATTTCATTTTTCAGGACAACTAACCACCGGAGAAGAAACTACAAAGGCATATGTTACTACCACTGTGCCAGGTGAAAAAAAACATTCAAAATTGAATTCCAAATAATGGTACTCCTGAAGTATGCGCACCAAGATGTCGCACAACCTGAACCCTAACCTTGTACATCTTGGTACGCATACTTCAGGAGGTCCCAAATAAGTATTTTGTATCTGGTATCATAAATACAAGAAACGGGAAGCAACAAAAAAGATTTTCCTTTATTTCATTTTTTCGGGACATTCGAGGTGTAACTCCAAATAAATATTATACATTTGGTATCATAAATACAAAAAAAGAAAAACAACAAAAAAGATTTATTAATTATTTCATTTTTCAGGACAAGTAACCACTGGAGATGAAACTACAAAAGCATATGTTACTACCACCGTGCCAGGTAACAAAAAATGAATTCCAAATAAGTATTTTGTATTTGGTATCATAAATACAAAAAAAAAAAACGAAAAACAACAAAAAAGATTTTCATTCATTTTTTTTTAGGAGAAGTAACCACAGAAGAAGAAACTACAATGGCATACGTTGCCACCTCCGTGCCAACAGGTAGGCTACGTAAAGTTAACATCAGCTGACGGAAAATTTCCATACAAATATCATTGCGACCATTAATCATGACAAAATGGTTTATAACTGGTATTATATCAATATGATCAGAAATGAGAACGAAAACCAACAACAAAAAAGATTTTCATTTATTTCTTTTTTTCGGGACATTCAAAATGTAACCCCAAATAAATATTATACATTTGGTATCATAAATACAAAAAAAAGAAAATCAACAAAAAAGATTTTTTATTTATTTCATTTTTTTCAGGACAAGAGACCACTGGAGAAGAAACTACAAAGACATATGTAACCACCACCGTGCCAGGTAAAAAAACATTCGAAATCAAACTCCAAATAAATATTTTACATTTGGTATCATAAATACAAAAAACAACAAAAACGATTTTCATTTATTTCATTCTTTCGGGACATTCAAAATGCAAGTCCAAATAAATATTACACATTTGGTATCATAAATACAAAAAAAGAAAACAACAAAAAAGATTTTTTATTTATTTCATTTTTTCAGGACAAGAGACCACTGGAGAAGAAACTACAAAGACATATGTAACCACCACCGTGCCAGGTAAAAAAACATTCAAAACCAAACTCCAAATAAATATTTTACATTTGGTATCATAAATACAAAAAACGAAAAACAACGACAAAAAAGATTTTCATTTATTTCTTTTTTTCGGGACATTTAAAATGTACCTCTAAATTAATATTATACATTTGGTTTCATAAATACAAAAAATTAAGAACAACAAAAAAGATTTTATTTATTTTAATTTTTCAGGACAAGTAACCACTGGAGAAGATACTACGAAGGCATATGTTACTACAACCGTGCCAGGTAAAAAAAAACTTCGAAATTGAATTCCAAATAATGGTACTCCTGAAGTATGCGCACCAAGATGTTGCACAACCTGAAACCTAACCGTGTACACAACCTGAGTTCAGGTAGTGCACCATCTTGGTGCGCATAATTCAAGAGGTCCCAAATAAGTATTTTGCATTTGGTATCATAACTACAAGAAACGAAAAACAACGAAGAAGATTTATTATTTATTTCATTTTTCAGGACAAGTAACCACCGGAGATGAAACTACAAAGGCATATGTTTCTACCACCGTGCCAGGTAAAAAAACCAATATTTAAAATTCATTTCCAAGTAACTATCTTGCATTTGGTATCATAAATACAAAAAACGAAAAACAACAAAAAATATTTTCACATATTTCCTTTTTTTTTGGACATTCAGAATCTAACTCCAAATAAATATTTTACATTTGGTATCATAAATACAAAAAAAAAAACGAGAAACAACAAAAGAGATTTTCATTCATTTCGTTTTTTTTTTAGGAGAAGTAACCACAGAAGAAGAAACTACAATGGCATACGTTGCCACCTCCGTGCCAACAGGTAGGCTACGTAAAGTTAACATCAGCTTACGACAAATTTCCATACAAATATCATTGCGACCATTAATCACGACAAAATGGTTTATAACCGTTATTATAACAATATGATCAGAAATGTGAACGAAAAACAACGAAGAAGATTTTCATTTATTTCTTTTTTTCGGGACTTTCAAAATGTAACTCCAAATAAATATTATACATTTGGTATCATAATAACAAAAAAAAAAGAAAAACAACAAAAAAGATTTTTTATTTATTTCATTTTTCACAGACAAGACTGGAGAAGAAACTACAAAGGCATATGTAACCACCACCGTGACAGGTAAAAAAATATTCAAAATCAAACTCCAAATAAATAATTTACATTTGGTATTATAAATACAAAAAACTAAAAAGATTTCCATTTATTTCATTCTTTCGGGACATTGAAAATGTAACCCCAAATAAATATTATACATCTGGTATCATAAATACAAAAAAAAGGAAACAACGAATTTTTTTTTATTTATTTCATTTTTCCAGGACAAGTAACCACTGGAGAAGAAACTACAAAGGCATATGTTACTACCACCGTGCCTGGTAAAAAAAACATTCAAAATCAAACTCCAAATAAATATTTCACATTTGGTATCATGAATAAAAACAAAAAAACGAAAAACAACAAAAGAGATTTTCATTCATTTCGTTTTTTTCAGGAGAAGTAACCACAGAAGAAGAAACTACAATGGCATACGTTGCCACCTCCGTGCCAACAGGTAGGCTACGTAAAGTTAACATCAGCTGACGGCAAATTTCCATACAAATATCATTGCGACCATTAATCATTACAAAATGGTTTATAACTGGTATTATAACAATATGATCAGAAATGTGAACAAAAAACAACAAGAAAGATATTCATTTATTTCATTTTTTTGGGACATTCGAAATGTAACTCCAAATAAATATTATACATTTGGTATCATAAATACAAAAAAAGAAAAGCAACAAAGAAGATTTTTTAATTATTTCGTTTTTCAGGACAAGTAACCACTGGAGGTGAAACTACAAAGGCATATGTTTCTACCACCGTGCCAGGTAAAAAAGACATTCAAAATCAAACTCCAAATAAATATTTTACATTTGGTATCATTAATACAAAAAACGAAAAACATCACAAAATATTTTCATTTATAACATTCTTTCGGGACATTCAAAATGTAATTCCAAATAGGTATTATACATTTGGTTTCATAAATACAAAAAATTGAGAACACCAAAAAAGATTTTTTATTTATTTCAATTTTTCAGGACAAGTAACCACTGGAGAAGAAACTACAAAGGCATATGTTACTACAACCGTGCCAGGTAAAAAAATCATTCAAAATTGTATTCCTAATTATGGTACTCTTGAAGTATGCACACCAAGATGTTGCACAACCTGAACCCTAACCTTGTACACAACCTGAGTACAGGTAGGGCATCATCTTGGTGTGCATACTTCAGAAGGTCCCAAATAAGTATTTTGCATTTGGTATCATAAATACAAAAAATGAAAAACAACAAAGAAGATTTATTAATTATTTGATTTTTCAGGACAAGTAACCACTGGAGATGAAACTACAAAGGCATATGTTTCTACCACCGTGCCAGGTAAAAAAAAAACATTCAAAATTGAATTCTAAATAAGTATTTTGCATTTGGTATCATGAATGCAAATAAAAACGAAAAACAACAAAAGAGATTTTCATTCATTTCGTTTTTTCAGGAGAAGTAACCGCAGAAGAAGAAACTACAATGGTATACGTTGCCACATCCGTGACAACAGGTAGGCTACGTAAAGTTAACATCAGCTGACGACAAATTTCCATACAGATATCATTGCGATCATAAATCATGACAAAATGGTTTATAACTGTTATTATAACAATATGAACAGAAATTTGTGCATATATCCAACATAACATAGGTTTTGAGAAATAGCAGACAAATAATCGCATAATGCAATGTAGTTCTCTAATAAGCAAATGGAAAAAAATGAACCATTTAAGGAAATGACTTGCTTTAAAGTTCCTTCTTGTTTGGAACGTTGTTTTTAACGTCAGTGAAAACAAACAATATGACTTCGATAAAAAAGATCAGATGTAATATTACTATGAATTTTTTACCATAAAGAAAATTGTAATAATCGGCGAGTCTGTATTTGTTTGAAGGGTATTTAATAAGAATTTCATTTACTATTAGTTGTACTAGACGTTTGTATCAGTTCATTATTTTCTAATTTTTAGACGAAGACACGACAATTCAAGACACTACTGGTGAGTATCATACGTAAATCAATATACATTGTGAAATATAACAACACATGAATATTTTGAAAACATTAGATTTTATACAATAATTTTCCGATAACTTTAAAAACGATATTTATATTGAAATTTTAAAATGAAATAAAAGACATTGTGATCGCAAATAAAATATGAAATCACTATTCAAATAATTAATCAAACAACAACTTACTCTTATAATACAAACAGAAAAATTATTGAAAAGTTGTTGCAATGTTAAATTCAAAATTGTATAAGATTTCAAATTCAACATTGAGTTTGGTAATTAACCTGTCCTATTTCAAATATATTGGGGGTTCAAATCATAGAGTGCATTAGGCACAATTAATTGCAAAATTTAAAACGATGCTTCGATGGGAGCGTAAAACTATTTTCGTTTGCTTTAAAGTATGTTATTCATTTTGGTTTCAGTATTCGTTACCAAGAAAGTTATTACGACTGAATCGTATACTAATACATGTATAAGATTCTTGACGGTTGAATTGTTGCTATGTTATATCAGTATGACAGAAATATTTCGTATTTGGAACCCGACGCTCCGACGTTATTTTTCTAGATTTCAAACCCAGTTCTCATTATTTGTCAAGCTTATTTATCTAATTACAGTAATCCTCAATCTTAATTTTCATAAAGGAGTATTTTTCAGTATATTGATCTGGAAACTACATGACATTGTAGATTTTAAACTTGGTCTTTAGCGAAAAAATGCATTCCGTTATTTAGGTCCTCTGACCGATCAGACAACAACTGATTATTCAACAACTCAACCAACAGGTAGGCTACGTAAAGTTAACATAAGCTGACGACAAATTTCCATACTAATATCATTGTGACCATAAATCATGACAAAATGATTTGTTTATAACTGTTATTATAATAATATGATCAAAAATGCGTGCATATCTAACATAACATAGATTTTGAGAAATAGCAGACGAATAATCGCATAATGTCATGTACTTATTCTCCTGAACGAATTATTACAAATGAAGCATTCAAGAAAATGACAGTTCCGTGTTGTGTGAAACGCTGTTTTAATGTCATTGAAACCAAACAATATTACCTTAATGAAAAATATCAGATGTAATGTTAATGAAATTCCCAACAGTCTGGTTTGTATTCGTTTGAAGAATATTTATTAGAAATTTTTACTATTAGGTGTACTGAACATTTGTATCAGTTTATTATTTCTTAAGTTTCAGACGAAGACACGACAATTCAAGAAACCACTGGTGAGTATTATACGTCCATCCAATCAACCCGTGATCCTAATTTTCATACAGAAGTATTTTTCTGTATATTGATCTGGAAACTACATGACATTGTGGATTTTAACTTGTTTGAACTTCAGTGAAAAAATGCATTTCTAATTTAGTTTAAAATTTTAGTGATAAATTTCAATTAAATATTCATTCAACATACAGTACAAATAAAAATAGAAAGAATGAAAAATAAAAAAATGAAATATAACGAATTATTTACACAAGATTGCCCAAACACATTTGGACCATTGGAAAATTGTTATCAATGGATAGGTTTTAATCTTTCTCAGTTTATCAATTATGTTGAATTACTTCAAAACAGAAACTCAAACGACTGAAGCGATAACTTTTCCCGAAATGTCAACAACCTCCAATGGTAAGGCTTTATATAATATATATATATTCCAGTGTTTAACTAATATTTATTGAATCGTCATTTTTCATATAGCAAAATAATAAAATTTAAGAACGTTTGCACATCTTTTGAGAATATAATGTCAAATTCAACTGTCATCAAATAAATGATGAAATTTGTAAATGGAAAATTTGAATTTTAGCCTATTTGAGACACACACAAGACTCTTAAATTTTATTATCCACATAAAATTTTATAACGGAAATAATTCCAATTTATCTCACAGCATTCTAATACGTTTGTTTATTCAGCTTGTACAATGTTATCAAGGAAATAGCAAACAAATATATTAGCTGATGTCATTTATGACGCTACCATTGATGATTTAAAACAGAGTTTTTTCTTCTAAAGTGAATATTAATTGGTTATTTTTTACTTGAATCACAGATGGAATCACAACTTCGGTCCCAATTGACGATTTATTCACAGGTAACTTAATTTATTTTCATAGTAAAGTTCAGATCATTGCAGCAACTTTAATAAACAATATGATGTTGTAACGTAAGCTATATACGTCATATTTGCTAGTACATCTTTGTCTATACTCGCATCCTACCACAACGTTGTCTATTGTAGGAGTATTTCTTATTAGCCGCAATGAAAATATTTTTGTGGAAAATATCGTTAGTGAAAAAATCCGTTTACCGAAGTTATATATAATATATGGAAAAAATAGCCCTTAGCAGAACAGATCAATTATCACTTGCAGAAATGCTGTGATTGCATGAATGAAAAGACAGCATTTGAGTAACAGGATCGTTTGAAAATGAGTTCTTTTTTAGTGTGTTGCTTTAACATGAAAAAAACGAAGAAATATATTTTTTATAACAAACAATGAAACGTAACCTTGGTTAAAAACTAAAACATATAGAAAATGTAAATTAAACTGGTTTGTATTTGTTTGAAGACTATTTTATGAGATTTTCCATTTTCATTTTCTAAAACTATTGATCGAGTTGCATTACTTTCTAATTTCCAGACGAAGACACGACAATTCAAGAAACGACTGGTGAGTAGCGTATGTGAATCTACATACAATGATACGAAAATACATCAGTTATATTTTTTTGAAATAATAAATTTTAAAATAAAAATGTAAATTACTAAATTTGCAATATTACTTCAAATAACGTTAATACCTATGATAATGGATTGGAAATTGATAATAAAATAAGAAAGAAAATATTAAATTACTATTCAAATGATGTTCCAAACAATCCTCATTTTTCGCCATTATAGTTTTTATACACGATGCTTACATGCAACACATTGTAATCGCAAATAAAATATTAAATCACTATTCAAACAATTTTTAATATTACTACAACAGAATCTTCTAATACAACCGATAAAAGTTATTAGGAGATAAGTTTAGTTGTTTCTATATTATACTATTATATTAATTTCGGAATTGCATGAGATTTAAAATTAGACATTTGGGACTTTGGTAATAGATTAACATGTCACATTTTAAATGCCTTGGTGGTTCGCATCCAATTAACCCGTGATCCTAATTTTCATACAGAAGTATTTTTCTGTATATTGATCTGGAAACTACATGGCATTGTGGTTTTTAAACTTGGTTTGAACTTCGGTGAAAAAATGCATTCCATAATTTAGTTTAAAATGTTAGTGATAAATTTTAATTAAATATTCATTCGACATACAGTACAAATTAATAAAGAAATTATGGAAAATAAAAAATAAAATATAACGAATTATTGAAACAATAGATTTCCCAAACACATTTGGACCATTGGAAAATTGTTATCGATGGATAGGTTTTAAATCTTTCTCAGTTTATCAATTATGTTGAATTACTTCGAAACAGAAACTCAAACGACTGAAGCGACATCTTTTCCCGAAATGTCAACAACCTCCAATGGTAAGGCTTTATATAATAAATATATAGTCCAGTGTTTAATTATTATTTATTAAATCGCCATTTTTTATACAGCAACATAATAAAATTTAAGAACGTTTGCACATTTTTTGAGCATATAATGTCAAATTCCACTGTTATCAAATAAATGATGGGATTTGTAAATGGAAAATTTGAATTTTAGCCTATTCGGGACACACACGAAACTCTTAAATTTTATTATCCACATAAAATTTTATAACGGAAATAATTTCAATTTAAATCACAGCATTCCAGGTTAGTTTATTCAGCTTGTACAATGTTATCAAGGAAATAGCGAACAAATATATTAGCTGATGCCATTTATAACGTTACCATTGATGATTTAAAACAGAGTTTTCTTTTCTAAAGTGAATATTAATTTTTTTTACTTTAATCACAGATGGAATCACAACTTCGGTCCCAATTGACGATTTGTTCACAGGTAACTTAATTTATTTTCATAGTAAAGTTCAGATCATTGCAGCAACTTTAAAAAACAATATGATGTTGTAACGTAAGCTATATATGTCAAATTTGCTAGTATATCTTTGTCTATACTCGCATTCTACTACAACGTTGTCTATTGTAGAATTATTTCTTACAAGCCGCAATGAAAATATTTTTTGTACAAAATATCGTTAGCGAAAAAATCCGTTTACTGAAGTTATAAATATTATATGGAAAAAATAGCCTTCAACAGAGCAGATCAATTAACGCCTGCAGAAATGCTGTGATTGCATGAATGAAAAGACAGCATTTGAGTAACAGAATCGTTTGAAAATGAGTTGCTTTTTGATGTTGTTGCTTTAACATAAAAAAAAACGAAGAAATATATTTTTCATAACAAACAATGAAACGTAATCTTGGTTTAAAACTAAAACATATAGAAAATGTAAATTAAACTGGTATGTATTTTTTGCAGACCATTTTATGAGATTTTCATTTTTCATTTTCTAAAACTATTGATCGAGTTACTTTCTAATTTCTAGACGAAGACACGACAATTCAAGAAACGACTGGTGAGTATCGTATGTAAATCTACATACAATGATACGAAAAGGACATCAGTTTTATTTTTTGAAAACATAAAATTAAATAAAAAATTGTAAATTACGATATTTTGCAATATTACTTCAACTAACGTTAATAACTATAATAATGGATTGAAAATTGATAATAAAATAGGAAAGAAAATATTAAATCACTATTCAAATGATGTTTTAAACAATTATCACTTTTCTCCGTTATAGGTTTCCATCTAAAAATTAGCGAAAGCTCGATGCTCTTAAAGATGTCTGAAACTATATTTCGTTTGCTTAAAGTAATGATGAATGTACTCATTATATTTATTTTCTATTTCAGGATTTGTTACAGAGGAATTTCCGACAACTGAATCTAATAGTACTACAGGTATAACGTCCCAAAGAACGTGTATGTTATTGTAATACTATGATCAGAAATGTGTGCATTTGTGATATTTAATTGAATGAAATCATCAAATTGAATGAAGTATATCGGACATAATATAAACATTAAAACAGAGCAGGCGAATAATGGCATCTTGCCACGCGCGTAGTTTTCTCGTGAACGAATGGATACAAATGCAGCATTCAAGAAAAAGACTTGTTTTAAAGTTCTTTGTTTAAAACGGTGTTTTTTACGTCATTGAAAACAAATAATATTACCTCAATGAAAACGATCAGATATAATGTTACAATGAAATTCCCAACATAAGGAAACATGGAATAATAGGGTAGTTTGTACTTGTTTGAAGAGTATTCAATAATAATTTCATTTACTATTAGTTGAACTAGACGTTTGCATAATTTCATTATTTGAATTTTCAGACCAAGACACGACAATTCAAGACACCACTGGTGAGTATCATACGCGAATCAATATACACTGTGAAGTATAATATTATACATAATACATGAACATTTTGAAATATTATGCAATAGTACTTCCAAAAACTCCAAAAACAATATTTGTATTGGAATTTGAAAACAAAATAAAACACATTGTAATCGCAAATAAAATATTAAATCACTGTTTAAATAATTTGTGAAACAACAACTTATTCTTATATTACAAACAGGTAAAAGTTATTGAGAAGTTCAGTTGTTGCTATGTTATACTCTTATGTTAGTTTCGGAATTGCATGAGATTTAGAATTCAACTTTTGTGAGTGCGGTAATAGATTAACAAGGCACATTTTAAATACATTGGTGGTTCGCATCCAATCAACCCGTGATCTTGATTTTCATAAAGAAGTATTTTTCTGTATATTGATTTGGAAACTACATGACATTGTGGATTTTAAACTTGGTTTGAACTTCGGTGAAAAAATGCATTCCATAGTTTAGTTTAAAATTTTAGTGATAAATTTCAATAAAATATTCATTCGACATATAGTACAAATTAAAATAGAAAGTATGAAAAATGAAAAATAAAACATAAGGAATTTTTGACACAATGGATTGCCCAAACACATTTGTACCATTGGAAAATTGATATCAATGAATAGGATCCATAGGTTTCAAATTTTTCTCAGTTTATCAATTATGTTGAATTATTTCGAAACAGAAACTCGAACGACTGAAGCGACATCTTTTCCCGAAATGTCAACAACCTCCAATGGTAAGGCTTTATATAATATATATAAATTCCAGTGTTTAATTAACATTTATTGAATCGCCATTTTTCATATAGCAACATAATAAAATTTAGGAACGTTTGCACATTTTTTGAGAATATAATGTCAAATTCAACTGTTATCAAATAAATGATGAAATTTGTGAATGGAAAATTTGAACTTTGGCCTATTTGGGACACACACAAAAGTCTTAAGTTTTATTATCCACATAAAATTTTATAACGGAAATAATTTCAATTCATTTGACAGCATTCCAATACGTTCGTTTATTCAGCTTGTACAATGTTATCAAGGAAATAGCGAACAAATATATTAGCTGATGTCATTTATGACGCTACCATTGATAATTTAAAACAGAGTTTTCTTTTCTTAAGTGTAAATTAATGTTTTTTTTTACTTGAATCACAGAAGGAATCACAACTTCGGTTCCAATAGACGATTTATTTACAGGTAACTTAATTTATTTTCATAGTAAAGTTCAGATCATTGCAGCAACTCTAAAAAACAATATGATGTTGTAACGTAAGCTATATATGGCAAATTTGCTAGTATATCTTTGTCTATACTCACATCCTACCACAACGTTGTCTATTCTAGGAATATTTCTTATTAGCCGCGATAAAAATATTTTTGTGGAAAATATCGTTAGCGAAAAAATCCGTTTACTGAAGTTATATATAATATATGGAAAAATACCCTTTAGCACAGTGTTCTTCAACCTTTTTTATCGTGGTATACCTTTTACAATTTTCAAGAACTTTGTATACTTTACAAATACCAATGTTCATTCAATACCTAAATAGACATTAAATTTCAAGCCCAGATTGTACTGCAATATTATCATGCAATCTAATAGGCTAGTTATAGACGGTCTGATTTGACTGCCTTTCCTTAGCGTGAACGGGAATATTGCTCACTGTAAATCGAGCAACATGCATGGCAGCCAAAATCACCTACCCAGACATGTTCCCACTTGCAGAAATGCTGTGATTGCATGAATCAAAAGACAGCATTTAAGTAACAGGCTTGTTTGAAAATAACTTGTTTTTGATTTTATTTTCTAAAACTATTGATCGAGTTACTTTCTAATTTCTAGACGAAGACACGACAATTCAAGAAACGACTGGTGAGTAGCGTATGTGAATCTACATATAATGATACGAAAATACATCAGTTTTATTTTTTGAAAATATAATATTTAATAAAATTGTAAATTACGATATTTTGCAATATCACTTCAAATAACGTTAATAACTATAATAATGGATTGGAAATTGATAATAAAATAGGAGAGAAAATATTAAATTACTATCCAAATGATGTTTCAAATAATCCTCACTTTTCTCCATTATAGTTTTTTATCGAAAAATTAGCGAAAACACGATGCTTTAGAAGATGTCTAAAACTCTATTTCGTTTGCTTAAAGTAATGATGGTGACACCCATTATATTCATCTTCTATTTCAGGCCTTGTTACAGAGGAATTTACAACAATCGAATCTAATAGTACTACAGGTATAATGTCTCAAATAACGTGTATTGTAATATTATGATCAGAAATGTGTGCATATGTGATATTAAATTGAATAAAATCATCAAATTGAATGAAGTATATCGGACTTAATATAGACATTAAACGGAGCAGCATATTAGCTAATGCCACGCGCGTAGTTTTCCCATGAACGAATGGATAGAAAGAAGCATTCAAGAAAAAGACTTGTTTTAAGTTCTTTGTTTGAAGCGCTGTTTTTTTACGTCATTGAGAACAAATAATATTACTCATTGAGATCAGATGTAATGTTACAATGAATTTCCCAACATTTGTATCAGTTTATTATTTTCTAACTTTTAGACGAAGGTACAACAATTCAAGTCACCACTGGTGAGTAATATATGTAAATCAATATACAGTCAATATATTACATAATACATGAACATTTTGAAATATTAGGCAATAATAATTCCAAAAACTCTTAAACGATATTTGTATTGGAATTTGAAAACAAAATAAAACACATTGTAATCGCAAATAAAATATTAAATCACTATTCAAACATTTATTATTATTACTACAACTGAATCTTCTAATACAACGACAAAAGTTATTAGAAGATAGGTTTGGTTGTTTCTATATATATACTATTATGTTAGTTTTGGAATTGCATGAGATTTAAAATTAGACATTTGGGACTTTGGTAATAGATTAACATGTCACATTTTGAATACCTTGGTGATTCGCATCCAATTTACCCGTGATCTTAATTTTCATAAAAAGTATTTTTCTGTTATTGATCTGAAACTTACATGACATTGTGTATTTTAAACTTGGTTTGAACTTTAGTGAAAAAATGCATTCCATTATTTAGTTCCTCAGACCGAGCAGACAACAACTGAGTATTCGACAACTCAACCAACAGGTAGGCTACGTAAAGCAAACATGAGCTACGATAAGTTTCGATATGAATAACATTGCGATCATTAATCATGACTAAATTGTTTCTAACGACATTTTTTTTTATAATCTACTGGGTTTTTAATAGTCCAAGTTGAAGCCCAAACTCGAATAGAAATGCATCCGCACTTTCTCTAAAAACATAGTGTTAGAAAATTCACCCATACGATGTGTATACTTTGTTAGGAAGAGTAAGAGTCATTGATGTTCATCATATCCCTAAATCCTCTCAATTTATAACATCCTCATAATTTGGGGGGTGAGAGACGTGGAACCGAGATCTCAAACTTCCAAGGCCAATACAGTGAGGCTAACGAGCTTTTAACCTTCGTTAAATATCTTTGATTCCTTGTGCATTATGCGATGCGAATCTGAGAGATAATTTGAAAAAGACGCAGAGACTAACCTGTAAAATACCCAATAACATTGTTTTGACTACAAAAAAACCTACTGTTTGCGTTGAAACTCTGCTATTTTTAAATTCTGGCTTTTGAATCTCGCCATGAATTACAACAGTAATTTACTTTGCGCCGGCCCAGAATTAGCATTAAACCATGAAAATTCTATGGTAACAGTATTATTTGAATGTTTTATTCATTTTATTTCCCCAGAACAAGTAAATACTGAAGAGGAAACTACAACAGTATACGTTACCAACGTGCCAGGTGACAACACTCAAATTCAACTCCAAATAAATATTTTACATTTGGTGTCATAAATACAAAAACCGAAAAACAATAAAAAAGTTTTTATGAACAAATATGGATAAATTAAAATGACATTTTACTTAGTTATCGCGCGGGTGAGAAATGTTAATAACAGATGATTACCCGTACGGCTATTCTTTTCAAGAAATGTGTGCATTTGTAATTTATTTAAATAGAATCATCAAACAAGATAAAATATATCCAACATAACATAGACTTTAAAATAGAGCAGGGAAATAGTCGCACAATGCCACGTAGTTTTCTCATGAACGAATGAATAAAAATGAAGCATTCAAGAAAATGAGAATTTCCTTAACTTTTAGTTACATTAGACGTTTATATCAGGTCATTATTTCCTAATTTTCAGACGAAGACACGACTATTCAAGAAACTACTGGTGTGTATCATACGTGAATCAATATACATTCTGAAATATTACAATAATACATTATATAAGATCATTTTGAAAACATAAAATTTTATGAAATTCAAAAATAAAATAAAATACATTGCAATCGCAAATAAAATATTAAATCACTATTCAAATAATTTGTCAAACAACAACTTAATCTTATAATAGAAACAGGTGAAAGTTATTAAGAAGATCAGTTGTTGCTATATTATACTATTTTATGATAGTTTCAGAATTTTATAAAATTTAGTATTCGACTTTTGTGACATTGGAAATTGATTGACAAGTCACATTTCCAATATATTGGTGGTTTATATATCATGGACTGCATTGGCCACAATTGATATAAAAAATTGAAAACAATGCTTCAAGTGAAGCATAAAGCTCTATATTGTTTGGTTCGAAGTAATGATGTTGATTTTGATTTCAGTATTTGCTACAGAGGAAGTTACTACGACTGAATCCAATATGACTACAGGTATAAAATTCTTGACAAGCCGAATTGTTGCTATGTTAAAATAGGATGACAGTTTCGGAAATATTGTATCTTTGGAACTCGACGCTCCGACGTTATTTTTTAGATTTCAAATCCGATTCTGATAATTTGTAAAGGTTATTTATCTAATTAATCCTTAATCCTAATTTTCATGAAGAAGTATTTTCCAGTAAATTGATCTGCAAATTACATGACATTGTGAATTTTAAACTGGTTCTAAACTATAATGAAAAAATGCATTCTATCATTTAGTTCCTCAGACCGAGCAGACAACAACTAATTATTCAACAACTCAACCAACAGGTAGGCTATTTAAAGTTAACATCAGTCACGATAAGTTTTTATTTAAATATCATTGCGACCATAAATCATGACGAAATTGTTTCTGACTAACACCGTGCCAGGTACAAACACTTAAAATCTAACTCAAATAAACATTTAACATTTGATGTCATAAATACAAAAAACAATGAAAAAATTATTTTATGAACAAATATGGATTAAATAAAATGGCATTTTCTTAGTTATCGCGAGTGAGAAGAATGTTAACAGATGATCACTCACTCGTACGGCTATTCTTTTCAAGAAATGTGTGCATTTATACTACTTAACCGAATACAATCATTAAATAGAATGAAATATATCTAACATAAAATAGACTTTAAAATACGGCAGGCGAATAATCGCATAATGCCTCGTAGTTTTCTCATGAGCGAATGGATAAAAATGAAGCATTCAAGAAAATAAGCATTTCATTTAGACATTTACTATTAGTTGCATTAGACGTTTGTATCAAATCATTATTTTCTAATTTTCAGATACGCGAATCAATATACATTCTGAAATACAACAATAATACATTATACAAGATCATTTTGAAAACAATAAATTTTATGAAATTTGAAAATAAAATAAAATACATCGTAATCGCAAATAAAATATTAAATCACTATTCAAATAATTTGTCAAACAACTTAATCTCATATTACAAACAGGTGAAAGTTATTAAGAAGTTCAGTTGTTGCTATATTATACTATTTTATGATAGTTTCAGAATAGTATAAAATTTAGTATTCGACTTTTGTGACATTGGAAATTGATTGACAAGTCACATTTCCAATATATTGGTGGTTCATATACCATGGAGTGCATTGGGCACAATTGAATTAAAAAATTGAAAACAATGCTTCAAGTGAAGCATAAAGCTCTATTTTGTTTGATTTTAAGTAATGATATTCATTTTAATTTCAGTATCTGTTACAGAGGAAGTTACTACGACTGAATCTAATACTACTGCAGGTATAAAATTCTTGACAAGCCGAATTGTTGCTATATTATAATAGTATGACAGTTTCAGAAATATTTTATCTTTGGAACTCGACGCTCTGACGTCATTTTTCTAGATTTCGAATCTATTTCTGATAATTTGTAAAGGTTATTTATCCAATTAATCCTTAATCTTAATTTTCATGAAGAAGTATTTTCCAGTAAATTGATCTGCAAATTACATGACATTGTGGATTTTAAACTGGTTCTAAACTATAATGAAAAAATGCATTCTATTATTTAGTTCCTCAGACCGAGCAGACAACAACTAATTATTCAACAACTCAACCAACAGGTAGGCTATTTAAAGTTAACATCAGTCACGATAAGTTTTTATTTAAATATCATTGCGACCATAAATCATGACAAAATTGTTTCTAACTAACACCGTGCCAGGTAAAAACACTCAAAATCTAACTCAAATATACATTTTACATTTGGTGTCATAAATGAAACAAAGAAAAACAACAAAAAAACTTTTTTTGGAACAAATATGGATTAATTTAAACAGCATTTTAATTAGTTATCGCGAGGGAGAGGAACGTTAATAACAGATGATCACCCGCACGGCTATTCTTTTCAAGAAATGTGTACATTTGCAATATTCAATCGAATAGAATCATCAAATAGAATAATGTATATATAACATAACATAGACTTTAAAATAGCGCATGTGAATAATCGCACAATGCCACGTAGTTTTCTTATGAGCGAGTGGATAACAACGAAGCATTCAGGAAAATAATAATTTTATTTGCTGTGAGTTGCATTAGACGTTAGTATCAGTCATTTATTTTCAAATTTTCAGATGAAGACACGACAATTCAAGAAACTACTGGTGAGTATCATACGTGAATCAATATACATTGTGAAATATAACAATAATACATGATACAAGATCGTTTTGGAAACTTTAAATTTTATGAAATTTGAAAAAAAAAAAATTTACATTGCAATTGCATAAGATTTTGAATTCGACTTTTGTGACTTTGGAAATTGATTAACAAGTCACTTTTCCAGTATATTGTTGGTTTATATATCTTGGAGTGCATTAGGCACAATTGGATTAAAAAATTGAAAACAATGCTTCAAGTGAAGCATAAAGCTCTATTTTGTTTGGTTCGAAGTAATGATATTCATTTTGATTTCAGTATCTGTTTCAGAGGAAGTTACTACGACTGAATCTAATACTACTACAGGTATAAAATTCTTGACAAGCCGAATTGTTGCTATGTTATATTAGTATGACAGTTTCAGAAATATTTTATCTTTGAAACTCGACGCTCTGACGTTATCTTTCTAGAATTCAAATCCAACTCTGATAATTTGTAAAAGTTATTTATCCAATTAATCCTTTAATCTTTATTTTCATGAGGAAGTATTTTTCAGTATATTGATCTGCAAATTACATGACATTGTGGATTTTAAAATGGGGCTAAACTTTAATGAAAAATGCATTCTATCATTTAGTTCCCCAGACCGAGCAGACAACAACAAATTATTCAACAACTCAACCAACAGGTAGGCTATTCAAAGTTAACATCAGTCACGATAAGTTTTTATATAAATATCATTGCGACCATAAATCATGACTAAATTGTTTCTAACTAACTAACTAACTAACACCATGCCAGGTAAAACACTCAAAATCTAACTCAAATATACATTTTACATTTGGTGTCATAAATACAAACAACGAAAATTAACCAAAATTTTTTTTTTATTAACAAATATGGATTAAATAAAACAGCATTTTACTTAGTTATTGCGATGGAGAGGAATGTTAATAACAGATGATCACCCGTACGGCTATTCTTTTCAAGAAATATGTGCATATGCAATATTTAATCAAATAGAATCATCAAATAAAACAAAGTATATCTAACATAACATAGACTTTAAAATAGCGCATGTGAATAATCGCACAATGCCACGTAGTTTTCTCATGAGCGAATGGAAAAAGGAAGCATTCAAGAAAATAATAATTTCATTTACTACTAGTTGCATTAGACGTTTGTATCAGTTCAATATTTTCTAATTTTCAGGCGAAGACACGACAATTCAAGAAACTACTTGTGTATCATACGTGAATCAATATACATTGTGAAATAGACAATAATACATTATACAAGATCATTTTGAAAACAATAAATTTTATGAAATTTGAAAATAAAATAAAATACATTGCAATCGCAAATAAAATATTAAATCACTATCCAAATAATTTGTCAAACAACAGCTTAATCTTATATTAGAAACAGGTGAAAGTTGTTAAGAAGATCAGTTGTTGCTATATTATACTATAATACGACAGTTTCAAAATTGCATAAGATTTTGAATTCGACTTTTGTGATTTTGGAAATTGATTAACAAGTCACTTTTCCAGTATATTGGTGGTTTATATATCTTGGAGTGCATTAGGCACAATTGAATTAAAAAATTGAAATTAATGCTTCAATTGAAGCATAAAGCTCTATTTTGTTTGGTTCGAAGTAATGATATTCATTTTGATTTCAGTATCTGTAACAGAGGAAGTTACTACGACTGAATCTAATACTACTGCAGGTATAAAATTCTTGACAAGCCGAATTGTTGCTATGATATAATAGGATGACAGTTTCAGAAATATTTATCTTTGGGACTCGACGCTCCGACGTTATTTTTCTAGCTTTCAAATCCGATTCTAATAATTTGTAAAGGTCATTTATCCAATTAATCCTTTAATCTTAACTTTCATGAAGAATATTTTCCAGTATATTGATCTGCAAACTACATGACATTGTGGATTTTAAACTGGGTCTAAACTTTAATGAAAAATGCATTCTATTATTTAGTTCCTCAGACCGAGCAGACAACAACTAATTATTCAACACTCAACCAACAGGTAGGCTATTTAAAGTTAACATCAGTCAAGATAAGTTTTTATATAAATATCATTGCGACCATAAATCATGACAAACTTGTTTCTAACTAACTAACAAACACCGTGCCAGGTAAAAACTCTCAAAATCTAACTCAAATATACATTTTACATTTGGTGTCATAAATACAAACAACGAAAAACAACAACAAAATTTTTTATGAACAAATATGTTTAAATAAAACGGCATTTTACTTAGTTATCATGAGGGAGAGGAACGTTAATGACAGGTGATCACCCGTACGGCTATTCTTTTCAAGAAAAGTGTGCATTTGCAATATTTAATCGAATAGAATCATCAAATAAAATAGAGTATATATAACATAACATAGACTTTAAAATAGAGCAGGCAAATAATCGCACAATGCCACGTAGTTTTCTCATGAACGAGTGGATAACAATGAAGCTTTCAGGAAAATAATAATTTCATTTACTATGGGTTGCATTAGATGTTGGTATCAGTTCATTATTTTCAAATTTTCAGATGAAGACACGACAATTCAAGAAACTACTGGTGAGTATCATACGTGAATCATATACTTTGTGAAATAGAACAATAATACATTATACGAGATCATTTTGAAAACATTAAATTTTATGAAATTTGAAAATAAAATAATAAACATTGTAATCGCAAATAAAATATTGAATCACTATTCAAATAATTTGTCAAACAACAACCTAATCTTATTATAGAAACAGGTGAAAGGTATTAAGATCAGTTGCTGCTATATTATACTATTATATGATAGTTTCAAAATTGTATAAGATTCAGAATTCGACTTTTGTGACTTTGGTGATTGATTAACAAATCACATTTCCAATATATTGGTGGTTCATATATCATGGAGTGCATTGGGCACAATTGAATTAAAAAATTGAAAACAATGCTTCAAGTGAGCATAAAGCTCTATTTTGTTTGGTTCGAAGTAATGATATTCATTTTGATTTCAGTATCTGTAACAGAGGAAGTTATTACAACTGAATCTAATACTACTACAGGTATAAAATTCTTGACAAGCCGAATTGTTGCTATGTTATAATAGTATGACAGTTTCAGAAATATTTTATCTTTGGAACTCGACACTCTGACGTTATCTTTCTAGAATTCGAATCCAATTATGATAATTTGTAAAAGTTATTTATCCAATTAATCCTTTAATCTTTATTTTCATGTGGAAGTATTTTTCAGTATATTGATCTGCAAATTACATGACATTGTGGATTTTAAAATGGGTTTAAACTTTAATGAAAAATGCATTCTATCATTTAGTTCCCCAGACCGAGCAGACAACAACAAATTATTCAACAACTCAACCAACAGGTAGGCTATTCAAAGTTAACATCAGTCACGATAAGTTTTTATATAAATATCATTGCGACCATAAATCATGACTAAATTGTTCCTAACTAACTAACTAACACCATGCCAGGTAAAACACTCAAAATCTAACTCAAATATACATTTTACATTTGGTGTCATAAATACAAACAACGAAAATTAACCAAAATTTTTTTTTTATTAACAAATATGGATTAAATAAAACAGCATTTTACTTAGTTATTGCGATGGAGAGGAATGTTAATAACAGATGATCACCCGTACGGCTATTCTTTTCAAGAAATATGTGCATTTTCAATATTCAATCAAATAGAATCATCAAATAAAACAAAGTATATCTAACATAACATAGACTTTTGAATGGAGCAGGCGAATGTTCGCACAATGCCACGTAGTTCTTTCATGAGCGAGTGGATAACAATGAAGCATTCAGGAAAATAATAATTTCATTTACTATTAGTTGCATTAGACGTTTGTATCAGTTCAATATTTTCAAATTTTCAGATGGAGACACGACAATTCAAGTAACTACTGGTGAGTATCATACGTGAACTGATATACATTGTGAAATATAACAATAATACATTATACAAAATCATTTTGAAAACATAAAATTTTATGAAATTTGAAAATAAAATAAAATACATTGCAATCGCAAATAAAATATTAAATCACTATCCAAATAATTTGTCAAACAACAGCTTAATCTTATATTAGAAACAGGTGAAAGTTGTTAAGAAGATCAGTTGTTGCTATATTATACTATAATATGACAGTTTCAAAATTGCATAAGATTTTGAATTCGACTTTTGTGATTTTGGAAATTGATTAACAAGTCACTTTTCCAGTATATTGGTGGTTTATATATCTTGGAGTGCATTAGGCACAATTGAATTAAAAAATTGAAATTAATGCTTCAAGTGAAGCATAAAGCTCTATTTTGTTTGGTTCGAAGTAATGATATTCATTTTGATTTCAGTATCTGTAACAGAGGAAGTTACTACGACTGAATCTAATACTACTGCAGGTATAAAATTCTTGACAAGCCGAATTGTTGCTATGATATAATAGGATGACAGTTTCAGAAATATTTATCTTTGGGACTCGACGCTCCGACGGAATTTTTCTAGCTTTCAAATCCGATTCTAATAATTTGTAAAGGTCATTTATCCAATTAATCCTTAATCTTAACTTTCATGAAGCACTATTTTCCAGTATATTGATCTGCAAATTACATGACATTGTGGATTTTAAACTGGGTCTGAACTTTAATGAAATAATGCATTTTATTATTTAGTTCCTCAGACCGAGCAGACAACAACTAATTATTCAACAACTCAGCCAACAGGTAGGCTATTTAAAGTTGACATCAGTCAAGATAAGTTTTTATATAAATATCATTGCGATCATAAATCATGACAAACTTGTTTCTAAGTAACTAACAAACACCGTGCCAGGTAAAAACTCTCAAATCTAACTCAAATATACATTTTACATTTGGTGTCATAAATACAAACAACGAAAAACAACAACAAAATTTTTTATGAACAAATATGTTTAAATAAAACGGCATTTTACTAGTTATCATGAGGAGAGAGGAACGTTAATACAGGTGATCACCCGTACGGCTATTCTTTTCAAGAAAAGTGTGCATATGCAATATTTAATCGAATAGAATCATCAAATAAAATAAAGTATATCTAACATAACATAGACTTTGAAATAGAGCAGGCGAATAATCGCACAATGCCACGTAGTTTTCTCATGAGCGAGTGGATAAAAATGAAGCTTTCAGGACTATAATAATTTCATTTACTATGAGTTGCATTAGACGTTAGTATCAGTTCATTATTTTCAAATTTTCAGATGAAGACACGACAATTCAAGAAACTACTGGTGAGTATCATAGGGGAATCAATATACTTTGTGAAATAGAACAATAATACATTATACAAGATAATTTTGAAAATATTAAATTTTATGAAATTTGAAAATAAAATAATAAACATTGTAATCGCAAATAAAATATTGAATCACTATTCAAATAATTTGTCAAACAACAACCTAATCTTATTATAGAAACAGGTGAAAGGTATTAAGATCAGTTGTTGCAATATTATACTATTATATGATAGTTTCAAAATTGTATAAGATTCAGAATTCGACTTTTGTGACTTTGGTGATTGATTAACAAATCACATTTCCAATATATTGGTGGTTCATATATCATGGAGTGCATTGGGCACAATTGATTTAAAAAATTGAAAACAATGCTTCAAGTGAAGCATAAAGTTCTAATTTGTTTGGTTCGAAGTATTGATATTCATTTTGATTTCAGTATCTGTAACAGAGGAAGTTACTACAACTAAATCTAATACTACTACAGGTATAAAATTCTTGACAAGCCGAATTGTTGCTATGTTATAATAGTATGACAGTTTCAGAAATATTTTATCTTGGAACTCGACACTCTGACGTTATCTTTCTAGAATTCGAATCCAATTATGATAATTTGTAAAACTTATTTATCCAATTAATCCTTTAATCTTTATTTTCATGTGGAAGTATTTATCAGTATATTGATCTGCAAATTACATGACATTGTGGATTTTAAAATGGGTCTAAACTTTAATGAAAAATGCATTCTATCATTTAGTTCCCCAGACCGAGCAGACAACAACAAATTATTCAACAACTCAACCAACAGGTAGGCTATTCAAAGTTAACATCAGTCACGATAAGTTTTTATATAAATATCATTGCGACCATAAATCATGACTAAATTGTTTCTAACTAACTAACTAACTAACACCATGCCAGGTAAAACACTCAAAATCTAACTCAAATATACATTTTACATTTGGTGTCATAAATACAAACAACGAAAATTAACCAAATTTTTTTTTTATTAACAAATATGGATTAAATAAAACAGCATTTTACTTAGTTATTGCGATGGAGAGGAATGTTAATAACAGATGATCACCCGTACGGCTATTCTTTTCAAGAAATATGTGCATATGCAATATTTAATCAAATAGAATCATCAAATAAAACAAAGTATATCTAACATAACATAGACTTTAAAATAGCGCATGTGAATAATCGCACAATGCCACGTAGTTTTCTCATGAGCGAATGGATAAAAAGGAAGCATTCAAGAAAATAATAATTTCATTTACTACTAGTTGCATTAGACGTTTGTATCAGTTCAATATTTTCTAATTTTCAGGCGAAGACACGACAATTCAAGAAACTACTTGTGAGTAACATACGTGAATCAATATACATTGTGAAATAGAGCAATAATACATTATACAAGATCATTTTGAAAACAATAAATTTTATGAAATTTGAAAATAAAATAAAATACATTGCAATCGCAAATAAAATATTAAATCACTATCCAAATAATTTGTCAAACAACAGCTTAATCTTATATTAGAAACAGGTGAAAGTTGTTAAGAAGATCAGTTGTTGCTATATTATACTATAATACGACAGTTTCAAAATTGCATAAGATTTTGAATTCGACTTTTGTGATTTTGGAAATTGATTAACAAGTCACTTTTCCAGTATATTGGTGGTTTATATATCTTGGAGTGCATTAGGCACAATTGAATTAAAAAATTGAAATTAATGCTTCAATTGAAGCATAAAGCTCTATTTTGTTTGGTTCGAAGTAATGATATTCATTTTGATTTCAGTATCTGTAACAGAGGAAGTTACTACGACTGAATCTAATACTACTGCAGGTATAAAATTCTTGACAAGCCGAATTGTTGCTATGATATAATAGGATGACAGTTTCAGAAATATTTATCTTTGGGACTCGACGCTCCGACGTTATTTTTCTAGCTTTCAAATCCGATTCTAATAATTTGTAAAGGTCATTTATCCAATTAATCCTTTAATCTTAACTTTCATGAAGAAATATTTTCCAGTATATTGATCTGCAAACTACATGACATTGTGGATTTTAAACTGGGTCTAAACTTTAATGAAAAAATGCATTCTATTATTTAGTTCCTCAGACCGAGCAGACAACAACTAATTATTCAACATCTCAACCAACAGGTAGGCTATTTAAAGTTAACATCAGTCAAGATAAGTTTTTATATAAATATCATTGCGACCATAAATCATGACAAACTTGTTTCTAACTAACTAACAAACACCGTGCCAGGTAAAAACTCTCAAAATCTAACTCAAATATACATTTTACATTTGGTGTCATAAATACAAACAACGAAAAACAACAACAAAATTTTTTATGAACAAATATGTTTAAATAAAACGGCATTTTACTTAGTTATCATGAGGGAGAGGAACGTTAATGACAGGTGATCACCCGTACGGCTATTCTTTTCAAGAAAAGTGTGCATTTGCAATATTTAATCGAATAGAATCATCAAATAAAATAGAGTATATATAACATAACATAGACTTTAAAATAGAGCAGGCAAATAATCGCACAATGCCACGTAGTTTTCTCATGAACGAGTGGATAACAATGAAGCTTTCAGGAAAATAATAATTTCATTTACTATGGGTTGCATTAGATGTTGGTATCAGTTCATTATTTTCAAATTTTCAGATGAAGACACGACAATTCAAGAAACTACTGGTGAGTATCATACGTGAATCCATATACTTTGTGAAATAGAACAATAATACATTATACGAGATCATTTTGAAAACATTAAATTTTATGAAATTTGAAAATAAAATAATAAACATTGTAATCGCAAATAAAATATTGAATCACTATTCAAATAATTTGTCAAACAACAACCTAATCTTATTATAGAAACAGGTGAAAGGTATTAAGATCAGTTGCTGCTATATTATACTATTATATGATAGTTTCAAAATTGTATAAGATTCAGAATTCGACTTTTGTGACTTTGGTGATTGATTAACAAATCACATTTCCAATATATTGGTGGTTCATATATCATGGAGTGCATTGGGCACAATTGAATTAAAAAATTGAAAACAATGCTTCAAGTGAGGCATAAAGCTCTATTTTGTTTGGTTCGAAGTAATGATATTCATTTTGATTTCAGTATCTGTAACAGAGGAAGTTATTACAACTGAATCTAATACTACTACAGGTATAAAATTCTTGACAAGCCGAATTGTTGCTATGTTATAATAGTATGACAGTTTCAGAAATATTTTATCTTTGGAACTCGACACTCTGACGTTATCTTTCTAGAATTCGAATCCAATTATGATAATTTGTAAAAGTTATTTATCCAATTAATCCTTTAATCTTTATTTTCATGTGGAAGTATTTTTCAGTATATTGATCTGCAAATTACATGACATTGTGGATTTTAAAATGGGTTTAAACTTTAATGAAAAATGCATTCTATCATTTAGTTCCCCAGAACGAGCAGACAACAACAAATTATTCAACAACTCAACCAACAGGTAGGCTATTCAAAGTTAACATCAGTCACGATAAGTTTTTATATAAATATCATTGCGACCATAAATCATGACTAAATTGTTTCTAACTAACTAACTAACTAACTAACACCATGCCAGGTAAAACACTCAAAATCTAACTCAAATATACATTTTACATTTGGTGTCATAAATACAAACAACGAAAAACAACAAAAAATTTTTTTTATAAACAAATATGGATTAAATAAAACAGCATTTTACTTAGTTATTGCGATGGAGAGGAACGTTAATAACAGATGATCATCCGTACGGCTATTCGTTTCAAGAAATATGTGCATATGCAATATTTAATCAAATAGAATCATCAAATAAAACAAAGTATATCTAACATAACATAGACTTTGAAATAGCGCATGTGAATAATCGCACAATGCCACGTAGTTTTCTCATGAGCGAATGGATAAAAATGAAGCATTCAAGAAAATAATAATTTCATTTACTATTAGTTGCATTAGACGTTTGTATCAGTTCAATATTTTCTAATTTTCAGGCGAAGACACGACAATTCAAGAAACTACTTGTGAGTATCATACGTGAATCAATATACATTGTGAAATAGAACAATAATACATTATACAAGATCATTTTGAAAACAATAAATTTTATGAAATTTGAATATAAAAAAAATACATTGTAATCGTATATAAAATATTAAATTACTATTCGAATATTTTTTCAATCAACAACTAAATCTTATAATACAAACAAGTAGGTGGAAGGTATTGAGAAGGACAGTTGTTGCTATATTACACTATTTTATGATAGTTTCAGAATTTTATAAAATTTAGTATTCGACTTTTGTGACATTGGAAATTGATTGACAAGTCACATTTCGAATATATTGGTGGTTTATATATCATGGACTGCATTGGCCACAATTGATTTAAAAAATTGAAAACAATGCTTCAAGTGAAGCATAAAGCTCTATATTGTTTGGTTCGAAGTAATGATGTTGATTTTGATTTCAGTATTTGCTACAGAGGAAGTTACTACGACTGAATCCAATATGACTACAGGTATAAAATTCTTGACAAGCCGAATTGTTGCTATGTTAAAATAGTATGACAGTTTCGGAAATATTGTATCTTTGGAACTCGACGCTCCGACGTTATTTTTTAGATTTCAAATCCGATTCTGATAATTTGTGAAGGTTATTTATCCAATTAATCCTTAATCTTAATTTTCATGAAGAAGTATTTTCCAGTAAATTGATCTGCAAATTACATGACATTGTGGATTTTAAACTGGTTCTAAACTATAATGAAAAAATGCATTCTATCATTTAGTTCCTCAGACCGAGCAGACAACAACAAATTATTCAACAACTCAACCAACAGGTAGGCTATTCAAAGTTAACATCAGTCACGATAAGTTTATATATAAATATCATTGCGACCATAAATCATGACTAAATTGTTTCTAACTAACTAACTAACTAACAGCATTCCAGGTAAAACACTCAAAATCTAACTCAAATATACATTTTACATTTGGTGTCATAAATACAAACAACGAAAAACAACAAAAATTTTTTTTTATAAACAAATATGGATTAAATAAAACAGCATTTTACTTAGTTATTGCGATGGAGAGGAACGTTAATAACAGATGATCACCCGTACGGCTATTCTTTTCAAGAAATATGTGAATATGCAATATTTAATCAAATAGAATCATCAAATAAAACAAAGTATATCTAACATAACATAGACTTTAAAATAGCGCATGTGAATAATCGCACAATGCCACGTAGTTTTCTCATGAGCGAATGGATAAAAAGGAAGCATTCAAGAAAATAATAATTTTATTTACTACTAGTTGCATTAGACGTTTGTATCAGTTCAATATTTTCTAATTTTCAGGCGAAGACACGACAATTCAAGAAACTACTTGTGAGTATCATACGTGAATCAATATACATTGTGAAATAGAACAATAATACATTGTACAAGATCATTTTGAAAACAATAAATTTTATGAAATTTGAATATAAAAAAAATACATTGTAATCGTATATAAAATATTAAATTACTATTCGAAAATTTTTTCAATCAACAACTAAATCTTATAATACAAACAGGTAGGTGGAAGGTATTGAGAAGGACAGTTGTTGCTATATTACACTATTTTATTATAGTTTCAGAATTGTATAAAATTTAGTATTCGACTTTTGTGACATTGGAAATTGATTGACAAGTCACATTTCCAATATATTGGTGGTTTATATATCATGGACTGCATTGGCCACAATTGATTTAAAAAATTGAAAACAATGCTTCAAGTGAAGCATAAAGCTCTATATTGTTTGGTTCGAAGTAATGATGTTGATTTTGATTTCAGTATTTGCTACAGAGGAAGTTACTACGACTGAATCCAATATGACTACAGGTATAAAATTCTTGACAAGCCGAATTGTTGCTATATTATAATAGTTTGACATTTTCAGAAATATTTTATCTTTGGAACTCGACGCTCTGACGTCATTTTTCTAGATTTCAAATCTATTTTTGATAATCTGTAAAGGTTATTTATCCAATTAATCCTTAATCTTAATTTTCATGAAGAAGTATTTTCCAGTAAATTGATCTGCAAATTACATGACATTGTGAATTTTAAACTGGTTCTAAACTATAATGAAATAATGCATTCTATTATTTAGTTCCTCAGACCGAGCAGACAACAACTAATTATTCAACAATTCAACCAACAGGTAGGCTATTCAAACTTAACATCAGTCACGATAAGTTTTTATATAGATATCATTGCGACCATAAATCATGACAAAATTGTTTCTAACTAACTAACACCGTGCCAGGTAAAAACACTCAAAATCTAACTCAAATATACATTTTACATTTGGTGTCATAAATGAAACAAAGAAAAACAACAAAAAAACTTTTTTTGGAACAAATATGGATTAATTTAAACAGCATTTTAACGATAAGTTTTTATATAGATATCATTGCGACCATAAATCATGACAAAATTGTTTCTAACTAACTAACACCGTGCCAGGTAAAAACACTCAAAATCTAACTCAAATATACATTTTACATTTGGTGTCATAAATGAAACAAAGAAAAACAACAAAAAAACTTTTTTTGGAACAAATATGGATTAATTTAAACAGCATTTTACTTAGTTATCGCGAGGGAGAGGAACGTTAATAACAGATGATCACCCGCACGGCTATTCTTTTCAAGAAATGTGTACATTTGCAATATTCAATCGAATAGAATCATCAAATAGAATAATGTATATATAACATAACATAGACTTTAAAATAGCGCATGTGAATAATCGCACAATGCCACGTAGTTTTCTTATGAGCGAGTGGATAACAACGAAGCATTCAGGAAAATAATAATTCCATTTACTATTAGTTGCATTAGACGTTTGTATCAGTTCAATATTTTCAAATTTTCAGATGGAGACACGACAATTCAAGTAACTACTGGTGAGTATCATACGTGAATTGATATACATTGTGAAATATAACAATAATACATTATACAAAATCATTTTGAAAACATAAAATTTTATGAAATTTGAAAATAAAATAAAATACATTGCAATCGCAAATAAAATATTAAATCACTATCCAAATAATTTGTCAAACAACAGCCTAATCTTATATTAGAAACAGGTGAAAGTTGTTAAGAAGATCAGTTGTTGCTATATTATACTATAATATGACAGTTTCAAAATTGCATAAGATTTTGAATTCGACTTTGTGATTTTGGAAATTGATTAACAAGTCACTTTTCCAGAATATTGGTGGTTTATATATCTTGAGTGCATTAGGCACAATTGAATTAAAAATTGAAATTAATGCTTCAAGTGAAGCATAAGCTCTATTTTGTTTGGTTCGAAGTAATGATATTCATTTGATTTCAGTATCTGTAACAGAGGAAGTTACTACGACTGAATCTAATACTACTGCAGGTATAAAATTCTTGACAAGCCGAATTGTTGCTATGATATAATAGGATGACAGTTTCAGAAATATTGTATCTTTGGAACTTGACGCTCCGACGTTATTTTTTAGATTTCAAATCCGATTCTGATAATTTGTAAAGGTTATTTATCCAATTAATCCTTAATCTTAATTTTCATGAAGAAGTATTTTCCAGTACATTGATCTGCAAATTACATGACATCGTGGATATTAAACTGGTTCTAAACTATAATGAAGAAATGCATTCTATTATTTAGTTCCTCAGACCGAGCAGACAACAACTAATTATTCAACAACTCAACCAACAGGTAGGCTATTTAAAATTAACATCAGTCACGATAAGTTTTTATATAAATATCATTGCGACCATGAATCATGACAAAATTGTTTCTAAATAACACCGTGCCAGGTAATAACACCCAAAATCTAACTCGAATGAACATTTTACATTTGGTCTCATATATACAAAATACACTGAAAAAAGTTATTTTTGAACAAATATGGATTAAATAAAAGGGCATTTTCTTAGTTATCGCGAGGAGAGGAGTGGAGTGCATTGGGCACAATTGAATTAAAAAATTGAAAACAATGCTTCAAGTGAAGCATAAAGCTCTATTTTGTTTGGTTTGAAATATTGATATTTATTTTGATTACAATATCTGTTACAGAGGAAGTTACTACGACTGGATCTAATACCACTGCAGGTATAAAATTCTTGACAAGCAGAATTGTTGCTATGCTAAAATAGTATGACAGTTTCAAAAATATTTTATCTTTGGGACTCGACGCTTCGACGTTATTTCTCTAGCTTTCCAATCCGATTCTAATACTTTGTAAAGGTTATTTATTCAATTAATCCTTAATAAGTATTTTCCAGTATATTGATCTGCAAACTACATGAAATTGTGGATTTTAAACTGGGTCTAATCTTTAATGGAAAAATGCATTCTATCATTTAGTTCCTCAGACCGAACAGACAACAACTAGTTATTCAACAACTCAACTAACAGGTAGGCTATTTAAAGTTAATATCAGTCATGATTAGTTTTTATATAAATATCATTGCGACCATAAATTGTGATAAAATTGCTTCCAACTAACTTGCGTTTTTTTTTTATTATTACTAAGTTTCGATGATGTTAACTAAGCTTATCAACGAGGTTAATAATCTTGTTATCGAGTGTCAGTTTTCCCACGTCGGAGCCCAACATTGAATAGAAAATGCATCCCATTGTCTCTAAAAATATAGTGATGGACAAATCACGAATACGACATGTATACTTTGTTAGGAAGAGTATGAATCATTGCTCTTTATCATTCCTTTAAATCTAAATCCTATCAATATATTACATCTTCATGATTTGGTGGGTAAGAGACTTGGAACCGAGATCTCTAATCTTCAAGGCCAATACAATGAGGCTGACGAGCTTTTAGTCATTAAATTTAAGAAATATATTGAGGTTAAATATCTTTGATTTCCTGTGCATTATGCGAAGCAAATCGTTTTGAAATTGATGTAGAACTAACCAGCAAAACAGTAAATAACATTGTTTAGATTTTAGAGAATTTTCTTTGCATTGAAACCCTGGTATTTCTAGAGTCTGGTTTTCGAATCTCGTCATGAATCATAACAATAATTTACGCTGCGCTGACACAGAATTAGCATTAAAACATGAACTTCATTATTTTTTCATTTCATCAGAACAAGTAACCACTGAAGAAGACACTACAACGACATACGTTACAACCACCGTGCCAGGTATAAACACACTCCAAATAAATATTTCCATTTGGTATCATAAATACAAAAATCGGACCACATCAAAAATATTTTTTTTCCACAAATATGGATTAAATAAAATTTTACTTATTTTTCGCGAGGGAGAGGAAAGTTAATAACAGGCGATCACCTGTATGGCTGATCTTTTCAACAAGTCAGTCGGGTTAGGTAATAGAGAAACTAGTCACAAATTTTTATATGTTTGTAAGATACCTATTAAAATGTATCAACAATCCTAAAAGGTTGAAATGAAAATATTCATTAGGCAACTAGCCAGAATTTTATAATAGGTTATCTTTGTTACAATATAGGTTGCCCAGAATGCTCCGCAAATGAAACGTGCAACAACTCTTCGATGAAATGTGAATGTAAAGACGGGTTTATCAATGGGACTGGAAATTGCATTGGTAATATGATAGAATTCACTTCTAGTATTACTATGACTTTAAAGTATTCATTATTCTGATTCCGATTCGATATTTGTAATTCGAATCTACTAACTAACATAAATAGTAATCTAACTTTGATAGAACAAGCTTACTTCGATAACAGAAACCTGACAAAATCTATAGCCAGCCACGTACCTGTTAATACTCTATTATAGAGTTAGAGTTGTTGCAAGCCTAGTCGGGTATCTTTTCTATAGACATGTTTCAAACTCACTATACTGAATGACTGATGCTTCCAGAATCTTGAGTGTTTTCTTTTTTTTGTGTTTTAGATATAGATGAATGTAAGACAACTTGTAAATCAGAAGGTCAAATTTGTGAGAACACTGTAGGATCCTATTCATGTTTGTGCAATGTGACAGAAAATTATGAACAAAATTCTGATGGTTCTTGTAAAAAAGGTATAAAACATGTTAATGTTTAACTATAGTTTGTAATCAAGGTTTTGAAATGATGTGCAGTGATGTGTTTTTGTCTTTATCATACATTTACAAGCGTGATACGAAAGCTGATTACCCAAGTGAATTAGATATTATATAAAATTTATTTAAAAAATATTATAGTTTAAAACTGTGTGACGAGTCCTAAACTTTTATTCCTGACAATATTTCTAAATTTTGATGAACAAGTATAATATGCTTCCTATGCAATTGACTATAAAACTAAAATTATTTACTTTAAATTTGAGTATATTATCATGAGTTACGACAATTTATTTAACGCTCGGCATATCAAACTGATATTAATATAATATTTAATGATATTTCCCACTTGCACGCTGTATTACTGTATTAATTTGCAACGCCAAGTAAAGCTAACATAGTAATACTATATATATATATATATATATATATTTGTTTTCTTAGTTTCATGAACGATATCATTTTTCTGAGGAATATATGTGTAGCGTTATAGAATATTTATTTGAAAAAATTTAGTTGTCATTGATGATTATATATATTATGAAAGTCTATTTGTACATCCTTTGCAAATTTTTATTTTCAGTTTGCCCGGACAGTTGTCCCGAGAATTCAGAATGCAAGTACCCTGTAATAGGCTGCGAATGCAACAAGGGCTTTGAGAGCTCTGCATATAATAGTATATGTGAAGGTTAGCTGGGTTTGTTCCTATTTAAACTCGTTTGTTTTATAGAAATATGCTTGTTCCAATTTCATTTACCTTTCACATTTATTATAATACATATATATCGTCACGCTAATAACCGAATTGCGTAAGTCATTTTTGGCGGTTTTGAGTTTTTTTTTTATAAAATAGGTATTTAGGTAATGCTGCGCAACTTTCTGTTAACTCAGATTTTATTTTAGGAATTCCGAAACCTATAAAAATGGAGATTTTGTATGACATGCACATTTGTGAAATTGTTTCGTCATAATGAATTATCGTTCTTACCGCAGGACTACTGTGACGTCACAAAGGCAAAATAACCTTGCTGAAAGATTTTCTAGTTTTTGCATCTCAGATTCTAGTTTAGCGCTTATAAATTTAAATTTATTCTATAGTATAGGGAGGTATGCACTTGTGATATTCACTGTCCAAGTCCAATTCACCTTGGTTGGCTTATATATTGGATGCATTGCCGTTTTATTCCTTATTTTTAATCTAAGTATAATTTCGGTGGGTTTGCAGAGCGTGTTATATTGATGAAATATATATTTTTAAACATAAAAAATGGACCTGAAACAGATTAGCAATTTTGGGGATTAGACATCTTAGATACTGGGAATTACAATCGTTTTTGGATTGTTTGGTTTTCAGGACTGGTGCATATAGTCAAGTTGCAAAATTGCGTATGTCCCCAAGCCATAGACACATTTCTGCCTAAGTCACAGTGCGCCATTATTATGTCACATAACTGCGTCATACAAATTAAATTAAATCCGGCTACCATCAAAAAATTGAACCATGGCAAATTATTGACTCTCAATGGTATAACAATATTATTAGGAAGTTTTTTACGTTTTTCTCAAAACTGCTAAAAATGACTCACGCAATTCGGTTATTAGCGTGACGATATATAATTAAATATATATATTATTGTAAATTGACAACAGGGATAAAAATTCATTATTCATTTCAGATATCAATGAGTGTTTGACTGAATGCAAAGATGTAGGCCAAGTGTGCAACAACATAGATGGGTCTTTCATATGTGAATGTGATGAAAAGTATGTGCCATTAGCAGACGGGACGTGTGAACCAGGTGAAACGCAACACAAATAATTCTTCTCGTATTGTTATATAGCATCTACTACTGTTTTATTAATGTTTCTGAATTGTATTAAAAGCATCCTGCTTTCTTGCCAACTTACGATTGTTGAGTTTCAAACAGTAGAATTGAGTTCAATATTTATGAATTCGTATAGAGCAGGGTCGTCCAACCCGTGGCCCGCGGAAGCATTTTGAGTGGCCCGCGCTGTATTTTTTAGAATTGAATAAAAAAATTGGAGTAAAACTATTTTTCGATTGATGTAGTATAAAAAGATACAAACGTTTGATACAAAAAATTTGTTTATTTTCCTTAAATGCGCTCTGCTAGCCCTGGCAAACGAGGCACGAGTGCAATTTGAATCGAAACCAACTGGGAGGAGGTACCGATAAATAAAGGTGTTATGGCACTTACACACTTGGTCTTTACTACTCTATATGACGTTATCGCAAAACAATCAAATCCATTTTCAGATTGAGAATTCTTTAAGGAATGTATATTATGTATTGTTCGGGTTGCCAATGTTTTACGTCCGAAATTAAAAGAGGTGCGAAAATAGCCTGTCAAGACAGATCATAACTCGTCATGTCTAAGAGCTTGAGAACTCTATAGCGGAAACTTTAATTGCAAAGACGGGAAATTTTTCATCGTATTCCTTGGCGCTTGACGAAAGCACCGACATCAAGGTTACTACTCAGTTGGCGATCTTCTTGCTGGGAGTTAATAATGATTTTGAAATTACCGCAGAGCTCGCAACCATTGTCCCCATTAAGGGTACGACTAGAGGCATTGGTCTGTTGGGAGCTGTGATGAAAAAGATCAAGCGTCTTGGCTTTTCTTTGGCGAAACTTTCGGAAATAACTACCGATTGCGCACCATCACTGGCTGGGAAACAACAATTTTATTGGTATATATAATAAATGTGAAAGTTTGGTGTGCGGGTATTGTTTTTCATTAACCTGTAGTCAGTGTAGCAAAACTAGAACATATTGCCATTGTTAAGTGGCCCGCGCAATTATTAGTAAACTACATGTGGCCCTTTGGCCAGAAAAATTGCAAAGAGAGGTCGTTGTTCAGCGAATTTATTTTAAAAATTGCAGAACCTCTAGAGTGTGAAGATATTGTATGCGAAGGTGATCATAATTACTGCAAGCTAAATAATGAAGGAACGCCTGACTGTTTTTGTGATATAGGATATTTCCCGAGCCCAGATTCTGAAAACTGTGCAGGTAACTACAATTTATAAACTAGTAACGACAGAGAAATAGAGAGAGTTAGACTGATGCTTCTAGAATCTTAATTCTTCTCTTCTGTGTTTATTTTAGATGAAAATGAATGTGATACAACTTGCAAAGAGGAAGGTCAAATTTGTGAGAACACTATAGGATCCTTTTTATGTTTTTGCAATGTAACAGAAAATTATGAACAAAATCCCGATGGTACCTGTAAAAAAGGTAAAAAGAACATGTTAATGGTAAACTATAAATTGTAATTATCATTTTGAAATATTGTGCAGAGGTGTGATTTTCGTCATTATCATAAAATATACATATACCACACGAATATACAAATGTAGGATACTTTTTAATAGTTCAGTATTTTAGTTTGCCCAGCTGAATGCCCCGATGATCTGCGTGATTGTGTGGAAGATGAACCATACAAAGGTTGTCAATGTGTCCCTGGATATGAAGCTGAAACTCCCGAAAGTGACTGTAAAAGTATGTACGGGTTGTATACTTGTTACCAACAAATTAGCAAATAGTCGAAACCGATTGCTTTTATCGTTTACAATTACTGTTGTAGTTGTATGTGATGATTTTAGTATCTTAGCAATATTTTTATTCAATAGTATTATATTCATATTATCTGGCTTTTAAGATATCAATGAATGTTTGACGAAATGCCAAGATTCTGGACAAAGCTGTACCGATACTGAAGGATCATATGAGTGCACATGTGCGGAAAACTATTACCAAACAGAAGCGGGATTTTGTATCTTGGGTAACATATATACTTGAAAATTATTTTCCAAGTTTTATAAAGTTTCTACAATATATATTTATTTACAATAGTTTAGATTCGTTAGAACATTTATATCGAAAAATTCAGCTGTCATCAATAATGTATATAATATAACACTTTTTCGATTTTTCATTTTTTAGTTTGCCCCGATGTTTGTCAAAACAACTCAAAATGCATATACCCAGCCAGAGGCTGCGAATGCAGCGAAGGCTTTACGAGTTCTGAAGATCCAAGCACATGTGAAGGTTAACTGTACAGCATTATTATATTTATCATTTATGTGCAATCTTAACGAATGCTGGTTTGAATTTTGTTCATGTATTATTAGAAATTCAAAATGTTTTATTTTAAATTGACAGCCAGTATAAAAATAATAAAATAAAACCATATATATTACAATATTTTCTTGTCAAAAATAAAAGGTGATTCTTTTTTTATAATGTTGTTAACGATGTCACCTTCTATGCTCATATTTTACTCTTTGTATCGAATAATGGAAATTTAGGTAATCACCAGTGTAACTATATTTCTATATAGTTCATAAATATGCGAACAATTCTACAAACGAATCAGTTATTATTCATTTCTCATTTCAGATATTGATGAATGTTCGACCAAATGCGGAGATGACGAACAAAAATGCGTCAACACGGACGGGTCTTTCACTTGTGGATGTGCTGAAAATTACGTTGAATTAGCGGATGGAACGTGTGAGCCAGGTAAAACGCAACACAGAATTAGCTATTTAGATCCTAAAATATCTTTTTTTAAATTAAGTTATCATTCATAGTGCTATTTTAATGATATTTCCAATTCCTTTTGAAGGCATTCTCTGATTTTCTTGTCAAGTGCTTCTTGTTGGGAAATTCAAACAGCAGTGTTAAATTTATTACTTCTGAATATATCTAGAACATACAGGCACTGTTGTTCAGCAAAGTTTTTTTTATGAATTGCAGTACCACCGACTTGTGCAAACATTGAATGCGATGGTGATCATAATTCCTGCAGGAATAATGACGAAGGAGAACCGCAATGTTTTTGTGATGTAGGATATTTTCCTAATCCAGATACAACCAATTGTGAAAGTAAGTACCATTTATAAACTAGTAGTGACAAAGAAATGGATGGACTTTGATTGAGTCAATGTGTACTTCGGGTTGTATATACACCATTGTGAAATCATTATATATTTTTTCTGCTATCGATCATCTTTTATTAAAAAATGTGTAAAGCAAGCATTTGGCATCTATTGAGCAAATTTAATTTGCAATTGCGCTGTGTGTTATCAACTACATATACATATTTTTTGCCATGCAAGGTTAGTGTCTAGCTAGACTCTAGACGGCCAAACTACAGGCCCGAGTTTCAATTTAGTGTTGACAGAATTTTGTTACCGACCCCATAACGCTCTCTTAACGTTTTTTTGTTGTTAATAACTTACGCATTTTCGCCATGTAATTTAGTATATCGTTTCCTGCTAATTATAAAAGAATAATACATGAGCGAGTGAACAGACTTTCAGTCTGATGAATTTCAACAAATCTAAACACAGATCTCAGTTGACCGATACTCATTTTAAATATGTTTTGACAATTGCCACAACCAAACTAAAACCAAATGTTGATGTTTTAGCCAAGAAATAGCTCAATGAATTTGTTGAGATTGCGATCAAATTTAGTTTTGGAAGGAGGCTTATTTGTTCTACACTTGCTTTTGTAACATCGTGAAAATTGTTCATAAAAATATCTTTTTACGTCACACGTACATGGCCCGTCAGCTTAGGTATAGGCAAAATTTTTGGCCCCTTGTTTAAAATCCTTGCCCATCTCCTAGTCTAGGCCAATAGTGCTACTGGTTCGGGTTAGAACACATTGGAAGATATCATGCACAGCCCATAATTGAATCCCAATCATATTAATATCAGGCCATAAAATTTCTAAATCGAATGTAGGATCCTGAATATAAGTTTTTCTTTTGAACAGATGTTGACGAATGTGAAACAAACTGTTTAGCAGAAGTAAACGTTTGTAATGATACAGATGGATCGTTTACTTGTTCTTGTATCGCTGGATATGAAAAGGCGGAAGACGGTTCTTGTAACGAAAGTCAGTATTTTGCTATTTTATGAATATTTTTAGATATTACAGATTTGTTGAATATTTCATTTCGCAAAGGCCCAAACGTTTGTGGGTTACTTTTGTGTAGCTTTTTGAAATTTTTCAATATTATATTTAAACTTTCTTCAAAGGTTAATTGCGACATATTTTTTGTTTTAGTATTTTGCCCAGAAAAAAAGGTAATATGCGGAGAGGCTCCTGAGGATTTGTGTGAAGACCAGACTGATTTCATCACTTTTCCTTCTGTTAAAGTCGGATATCACAGTAATTCATATAACGTCTGCAGTGATTCAACACCAAATGGTATAATCATAAAATAAAGCAATTTGGTTTATTTTTTAAGGTGTAATATTCTTTGTTGAGAACTTCATGGAGTATAAATTTTGCCAAAGCATCTACATATTTTTGAAGTATGTATGCTTTGTCACATACGTAATTACCCGTTTATATCAACAAAAGTCAAAAATGTTAAGAATATCTTTTTGTTAGCAAATATTCAGAGTTTATATCTAAACTATTATTATATTTTGCACAACGATGACTTGTTTGGACTATTAAAAATATTTATTTTTTTAGCTGGAAAAGTCATGGGCACCCGTGAATGCGCAATGGACGGGACATGGAAGGATCCGACATGGCTCTCCTCGTGTAATACAACTTTAGAGGTAAAATGTTCCCTTCCTCTTCAACCATTTAAAGTGCACATTGGCACTATTTATCTACTATTTATTCATCTCAATAATATTTTTTCAAGGCTTCTGCTGTCAGTTTTTCATTTATTATTACAGGATTTATCACAAATTACCATTGAGAGCGACGAAGAACGTGAAGAAGTTGTTAGCACCCTGGAAGTTATGACGGTAAAATCAGAAGAATTGACTTCAGAAGATATTAATGCTACAGTAACGGTGTTGAATAAAGTAACAAGTACTAATGACCATCTTACGCAAGATGTTTCGTCTTCCGTTGTCACAACTGTGGGCAATTTAATGGAGTCACCTGAGATGGCCGAGAGTGGACAATTAGAAGAGTAAGATAACTGAAATTACAGCTTATCTATTAGAAATTCGGTTGATAAGAATTTTGCAGAGAGATCGATACAATTAGGTTGTACACTATGCTGTGATTTCAAAGAAGTGAAATCCAGGTTTTGAATCATTTGACATTGTTTTCGTTTTGTTCGAGTTCGGATTCTGCTTTGGATTCTTTTCTATAAAACAAGATATCTAATGATAATAAAAACATAAATTCCGTGTAATATGACGATGTTGCAAAATGCAAAGTTTAGCGATAAACAATAGAAATATCAAATTATTCATTTTATTTTTCTAGCAGTTGTTTTTCAGTCCTCTGTATAATGCCATCTGTATATAATATAATGTATTTGCAGATTGCTCGACACAATAGATTCTGTGACGGCAAATGTAATATTATCTTCTGATGGAGAAAACTTTACCGAAATCAGCAACCAACTATCAGTAATTGTAATTGAGAGAAGTAATAAAAAAGGTTAGTTTTCAATTGATTGAACTCAACATCTATATTTATATTATTTAAGATGTAATCATAGTTGTATTTTGGACCTTTAGACGTCGTTTTTTTAGAACTTCCTCCATGCAAGAGTTACAGTTAGAAAATTTTTCAACTGGAACTGTACATTATCGAAAGACATGATTGAATGCCATCACGGGGGATTTGTCGTAACACCGGAACGCTTCTTTTTTTACAGGTGAAGGAATTGGGCAGGGATTGCGAACTCTGAGACGACCAAACATTACAGAAGAAGGTTTCCGGTCAGATCAATTTCAATTATTTGATGACGAAACACTGACTGACGAAGAAGAAACCAGCGAACTTTACTCCACAATATATTTATCTGGGGGTTTGTTAGACAAGATATCAGGTAAGAAACATTGTATTGCTATCTTTGTTAAACTAAAACTTTACATATTACATCTCATTTTCTGTAAAATATAGCTAAATGATGTGTGAAACTTCAAAAAACTTGTTTCCAACACTTTTTATATCATTTATCATATATGATGATATTTTCTTTTTTTCAGATGCATCAAAAATCAGCTTTGTAACTTTCGGCAATAGTAATTTATTTCAATCAAGTTCTGCGCCAAATGAAACTAGTACAAGAATGAGATCAATGAAAGCTGGCAATAATAATGAACCTTTCATTAATTCATTTGTAATGTCGACTGGTGCAGAAGATGGTGTATCCAAATTACCAGATGGAGAGGAAGTCAGATTTTCAACCAAGTTAATTGAGGTGCAGGCTGTTCCTTATTTAAGCAAGAGTTATGGGCATACTGGGTGCCAAGTTTTTCCCGTAAATTTTCTGAACTTTGGCTATGTAAGATTTCTCTCTAGCTATTTGTTTCCAACGAAGAGTTGATCTAAATTGTTTTCTTTTGGCTCATTCTAATTGCACATTTTGCAAGATAACGATTTATCAGGTTTACGCCCTATCAGTGATCGCCTGCCGCTTTTCTACTAATAGTCTTTGAGCTTTTGTTGCGCTTTCAAAATCTTGCTCTAAGCAAACTTACTTATCTAGTAGATGGTATTCGTAATTACTTACACAGTGATATATTGACAATGAAATGTATAAAATGCATCAGAACGCAACATGCACATTAAGTATCCGAAATGAACAAATAACGTTGTTTACGTTTTCAGGCATTGAATAGTTCATACAAAATTGAAGAGGTGGCAACCTGTGTTCACCGGGATGGGATAGAATGGAAAAATGATAGTTGTCGTCTGATCATAGAGGACACAACAGATAAATGGGTCTCATGTGGATGCAATTTGTTTGCCGATTTTGCCGTCAAGTTTGTGAGTAGGACGTTAAATAGTCATTTAGACGTTAAGTCATTTTCAAACTTTACATCATGTACAATAGGCTACGTTTTGATCTGTTTTACTCTCAATTAGGTAATAACGTGACTGCTATTATCAAAATTACTAAATATGAATTAATTAGCAAAAAAGTTTGATCATCTCAATAATTACTGGCTTTCATGGGTAGACTGAGTCTGCGGTTGTTGGCTCGATGAAATATTATCACAGTGTACATTTGTTAACAACTTTGCAATGTTTGGAAATGTTAATTTATTACATGCACGTTTACATGTTGTACTTGCACATCGCATATTTTGGAATGTTTAACATACCACCCAATCGCCTTATAATTAATTGCGATTCGAGTGTTGACCTGCATCACATGTCAAAGCGGAGCATTTTGATTTATACAAAATAAACATTTTTTTTCTCAATTCTATTCAGAAATATATACCACCCGAAATTACTTGTGCAGAAGAAAATATCCCGATAATTGTAGGCTGTTCGTTTTCAATCTTCACTTCTATTCTTGTCATTGTATTGGTCCTCGTAGTACCGTAAGTTATTCTCTTATTTTTCTATCAAAATTAAAACGGTGCTCCCGAAGTATGCGAACTAAGATGGCGAACATCGGAACGTAACATGGGTAACAGGTTAGGGTTAGGCGATACTTTTTTTCCAATTTTCCTTATTTTAGTTCTATTATCAGTTCGAAGACTAGCCAAGAGCCTCCCGTAGTATTTATACTTAAAATTATGACCTAACCCTAACCTAGTACACATATTACATTCCGATGTCCGCCATCTTGGTTCGCATACTTCGGGACAACATTCGTGAATAATTCTGAACGATACCGGGATAAGATCACGCGAAATTGCTGTATACCCATTGTGACGTAACAAGCTAAAATTATAATTATTACGTCAAATGTCACGCTGAGGTTAACTGGTTAACGGTTGAAGTGTTTTCCTTGAAATTCCCAGCCCTTGAATTAACGAATCTTACCACTGGATATGAGACCTTGGACTCGATCTGTAATGCATACAAAACTTACTTTTCTACGGTTAATACGTGATTCTGTATGATTATGCTCCCTTTCCAGATTTTTCACACGATGATGAATATCAAAACTCTTATATTTTCAGTAAAGCTTGGGAAAGCAGCAAGTTCCGATCGGCATTCTTATTCATAATTTTAAGTATAAATACTACGGGAGGCTCTTGGCTAGTCTTCGAACTGATAATAGAACTAAAATAAGGAAAATTGGAGAAAAAGGATCGCCTAACCCTAACCTGTTACCCATGTTACGTTCCGATGTTCGCCATCTTAGTTCGCATACTTCGGGAGCCCCATTAAAACATCAAAACATTTCAAATATTGGCGATATTTTCAAATACCATATTTGATTCTCAATGAATGGGAAGCAATTTGTTGAAACTATTTTTCCACTCAAAACAAACGTTCATTCTATAAAGTGCTCTGTACCTTCTCTGAGAATAGCAATTACTTATATTCTAGACATGGATTTATGATTATTGCTCAGTTTAAATTTTAGGCTATTTGTCGCAATGTGGTAAAAGCAATGAACATATAGCGACTGGTACGCTATATTCATCTCGATTCCTGCTAACTTTTTGGTTCAGCATGACCTACCCGATTTATTACGACCTTGGTAAAAGACTAGTTATACGGGCAGTCGTAAAATCCAAAATTTTATAAACAAATTCTCTTTTATATCGACATGAACAACAGGTTCCCTCATTTCAGAAAATAAATGCATTCCACTACGTAAACTGCATTAACTTCTAACTCACGTCTAAAACAAAAAACAAGAAGGGTATTCTAGGGCTGGGAATGGTTAACCGGTTAATCGGTTAACTGATGTTAGATGTTTAACGCTTACGATTTATTATAACCCTTAACTGACATCTCAGGTACAAATCATCTTTATAATTACAATTTCCTCAAAAATGATAACGTCAACGCAAATTTATCTCCTGTGGCGTTTAATTCGAAAGAATATCACTAACTGTATTTGTGAAGACCAAATAAATGTGAACATTAATTGAAGTACCAAGATTGCTAATTATGAAAATTTGACAATGACAAATTCAGAATCAAGTTTCGGTCAAAATATATTGTTCACGATTTTATTGCAAAATCGTATATTCAATGTCATCCAACAATGGCGCGGTTGATGCGTTTTTTTATGATATCTCAAAGTAGAATTTGCACATCGAGCAGTGAAAATTTGTCACATAAATGACATTTAATAACGGAATCGGTTTGTACTGAAATACTTCCATATATCCTGCAGCAAGCTATCACGAAACCGTCTCAATTCGTGAATAATTCTGAACGATACCGGGATAAGATCACGCGAAATTGCTGTATACCCATTGTGACGTAACAAGCTAAAATTATAATTATTACGTCAAATGTCACGCTGAGGTTAACTGGTTAACGGTTGAAGTGTTTTCCTTGAAATTCCCAGCCCTAGAATAAACGAATCTTACCACTGGATATGAGACCTTGGACTCGATCTGTAATGCATACAAAACTTACTTTTCTACGGTTAATACGTGATTCTGTATGATTATGCTCCCTTTCCAGATTTTTCACACGATGATGAATATCAAAACTCTTATATTTTCAGTAAAGCTTGGGAAAGCAGCAAGTTCCGATCGGCATTCTTATTCTTGAATTTATCAATTGGATTACTTGGATTGAACATTACTTTTCTTGTTATCAATTCTGTCGACCCAGAGACAATATCCTGTGCACCACTAGCAGCAGTTCTTCACTTTTTTCTTGTTTTTGTTTTTGCTTTCATGAACAACGAAGTTGCCAATCTTTATATTACGTTGGCAAAGGTGACTTATATGCAATTGCTTTACTATATTATTGCAATGTAATGTAGTTTAATCAAATAAGATCGAAATTGGTCTTCCTTTTTACATGGTACTTATTGCTGAAAGGCGTTTGCAAATCACGAATAACAGGTATATAGTCCAAGCTTTGTCTTCCTTTGATTCGGCAAAAAAGTTTTGATATAAGCATAATCTAATCTCTGAAAATTCAAGTCAACGGTTCCCGGTGAGTGTGTAGCGGCGCCCTAGAGGTACCCACCAGGGGCGTAGCCAGAAATTTTCAAAGGGGGGGTTCTGAAATTTTTATTTGCCAAGTTCGATCAAAATTGCTAGCGGGTGCGATCGAACGCTGGGATACGCGTGTTTTCATTTGTCTTGGGGGTCTAAAAATCCTTTTAAGCTACGGAAAATTGCTATCTATGATACAAAAAGATGATTTTATTTCTTTTACATTTCAAGGAGGGTCAACCCGCAAAACCACCCCCTGGCTACGCTACTGGTACCCACTATTTGATGCAATTTCGCGAGCTGCAGTTTATTTGACTGCTGAACCGAGTTTAGCGAACAGGAATGACTTTTTTTAGCATTTCAAAGGAAAATCGACAGAGATAAGAAAAAAGAGTTGATCTTTTTTCCCGTTAATCCGTAGTCTTTGGGCTTATGCATTCACAAACTTTATAAGGCTTAACGTACACATTACCGATCACAAAATTGAGTTTTTAAAAGCAGCACCTTTTTCGTGCAAGTACGCCGTTAGTTTGTTACTGATAATTTGGCGGCGCAAGAACAAAAAGTTTGGGAATCGCTGGTTTAGGTGAATATTACAGCGGGGAAATACGACCAGATAACCCTGATTGCCTTATTGTCGAAGCTCGTGTCCATCAGCGGTGTTCAAACGTGTTCCATTACATTTGACCCACGTACATTTGAACCCATGACAATTGCACCTGCATACTATCGCACTTATGAATTGTTTTTTGTTTTACGGATATTTGAACCCATACTCACCCTAACCCATGGGTTTTAGCACCCGCATATAGATTGAACCCGCGGATATACGCATGGGTTCAAATGTACGTGGGTTCAAATGTACGGTCACCGTTCAAACGTTATACCCTGGCCTACACCATTCCAATTTAACTACTTATTACCTAACCAAAAGTATTACTATTTTTCGTTTACCAATTTGACGTTTTGTGCGCAAATTGACTTTGATACACATTATTCTGATTCGGGCCTTACACATTTTTAGTGCATTTATTCGTGATTGTGTTTTATTTAGATTTCTATTCCGATTGACAAATTGAATTGTCTTTGAGTTCCAAATTGTACTATTACTTGTTTTTCTGCAGCCTCTACTTGCACGTAAAGGAATTGTGTATCAAATTCTCGTTCCTGCTATGGTTGGATGGGGATGGCTGATGCCGTTATTATTTGTTGGAATAACAGTTGCTGTTAATATTGATTACTACATTTCGGATTCTTTAGCATGCGAAAGGTATTGCTTATCATTTGTTTTCAGCATAAATAAATCTGCATACAACCAAGTTTAAATATTTTGCGCACCTCAATAGCTTACTATTGTTATAAACTAATTATTTTTTTGGGCAGCATTATGTATGCGAAATATGATGTAATCTCTTTACCCGTATCTGTGTGCTTTTTTCAAAATGATGTTCATACACTTCCTATGTATTACAGATGTTGGATTCAATCTGATATGGTTCTATATTTGGTTTATATTCCGCTATCAATATTATTCGGAATCAACTTGGTATTATATACGTTGATATCGGTTAAAATATGCCTCCATAAAACAAATGTGAAGGTAAGATTTTTAGATTCAAGTATGAAATCTACATTTATTGTAATTAAATATTCAAACCCATAGGTGTATATAGAAAAGTGTGTGGCATAAATAGCTTATTTTACAGAGTGACCCCCAAAATAGAACTCATCAATTTACAAACTACTCACCTGAAAATGGAGTAAATTATTTGATTTTGTTTACACTTGAACCTCTGTTAGTGCATGATTGTATTCCAAATCAGTCTTGTACGCTTTGCATAAACGTTATGTTCTGCTCAGAATATGATCCAAATCATCTCCTAGGCATAGGAGACAGACTTGCATCAGATTGTCAATCATCCACACAGTTTTCTGCTAGAGTGCTCTTTCTGCTGCCTGGGTATGTCAATGCCAAAAAGAGTGATTACCCTGGATCAACACCTCAGTTTTACAGAGAATGTTTCGTATCCCGAACAATTGTAGAAGTTATTAACAATTTATTGGTTCCGTTTTATTTGAGTTACCCTTGTTTATACTGGTTTGTAGAATTAGTTTGGTAGCTAGTAAGTCCAAATTTGCTTCACGGTACGATTCGATACACGACAATTACATTTTGAAATCAAATTAATGCCTTGTTATATGCCCGTATCGCCAAGACTTAGCAAATGTACTATATTACATTTTTATTTTAGCTTGTGACGTCATCAACAACGTTTGATATATGGATGAATTGGACAACGCACATATGTTTCAACATAATAGTTGTAATAACGTGGATTCAAGGACTTTTAGCGATAAACATTTCATTTTCCAACTCCGTGGTTATGTCTTACATATTTGCAGTGTTTAATGTTATACAAGGTAAACAGAATTCATTCATTTATTTTTAATTTTTTTTATTATTATAAATGATATAGCATATGAGTGACAGGAATTCAATCGGAGCATAACACATTCAATTTGGTACGCTCTTTTTACAGTGAGGAAATTAGCTTTGACAGACTGTTACGATAAATAATTAGAACTGGCAACTGATCAAATCTCGACTCAATAAATATTCATTAGTTCTGAATACTTTTTGACCAGTTCAGTCAATTTGGTCTGCAATTTTACATTTATGTCTTTCTTTATTTATGAACTAATATTTTATTTTTTCAAGGTATATCATTTGTTCTTCTTTTCCTTGGTCGAAATACAAACTTATTTTCAAGCTTCTTGTCAATCACCTACCGGGACTATTCTCCGTACGACCCGAGTGATTCTTCAATTCACGGGTGAGACTTTTTAGAGTAAAATGTTTTTCTCGTCTCAGGTAATAAAGCATTCATAGCGAGTCAAAGACAGACATTATAAACCAACATTGTTAGGTTAAGAGTATGAATGAATAAGATTGTTAAACGATGAAGCTAGAATTATGTGTACGAATGACGCCTGTGCGTAACTAGTTGTTGGTCGACGTAGGCCTAATTATGCAATTTACTCCACGTTACGAGGGGTTCGGTCTTTTTGCCAAATACCTCATCACCATTATCTTCATTTCCAGTGATACAACTCCGGGACAAGAACGCCGAACGCGTCGAAGGACACCGTATCACAATGAGGGATACCAGTATGCTGGTAACGACGAGGCTTTCAGAACTCCAGACTATCATTTTAGAAACATTCCTATGGAACGGGGATCCCGTACCAACCCAGTTTATGAATATGATCGTATGGACGCATATGGTGTGGAGCTCACAGAATCGCCAGCGGCCCCACGAGATAATCCGGCTTTCCAGTTTGATGCAGCCGATGCATTTAATACAAATATCGAAGAATTTCGTGGAATACCTAGAGCAAAACTACAGCGGGTTGTTAAGTCATCGTCTTGCTAATATTAAACTACGTTAAAACAGAACGGTGCCCGAATGCTGTGATTAATTGAATATTGTGATTAATTGAAGCATTTGATATTAACATAGCATTCAATGCTCAATTTACCCTTCCTGATTGCTATCAATGTATTTTTATCCTATATTCTTGGTTTATAACTCCACCAAATTGCTATTATCAAAATCAAAGGAGATTAAAAAAAATTACATTGCGCCACACAAAACTTCATTAATCGTAATCCTCATTGACTTACGATGTTAACGCTATTAATATTTTTTTAAAGAGGATCACGCTAACTCCATGAAATGACTCTTTGAGATAGAAATAATGACCTTTTGTATTTACAATCGCATTCAAAACTCATCAAGTATGGTTTAACTATGGGTCTCTGCAATGAACAATACTCGTTAGGTATTTTCCATTTAATAACTGGCAGAGTTGTATATTCTAAGTGGGCTGTGTGTTATGAAAATACTGTAATGTTATGCTATACTGCAATTCTGGGTAGACAGAAATTCATAATTTCGACACTTTAGCCCTGACTAGAAACGTTTTTAGTTTTTATCAGCGGATGGAAATGATAAACGTTTGTTTCCACGGCAACTGTTTTCCGCTTTAGCGTTAGCTTTGTTCTTTATGTACAAAATGCAGTTTATTGCTTTTTTGCTTATATATGCAAAAACATTGCATGCAATTATGATGAAGTTCAATTAATAATTATTTATGACAGATTTTATTGATAACTAGACATTGCTTTGTTTAAATATAAACACTCGTTTTACGTTACTCGTTAAATTTGGGTATACCGCTTTTTTTGATGACATTATATAAGAGTGACTTATTTCTTGTGCCGATGCAGTATATAACAAACACGCTTGTTATCACAAATCAATGCGCGCAATTTAACCATAATTTTACACAGCGCTGAGATCTTTGCAATTTTTCAAACGTTTTTTTTATTCTTAATTCATAACATATGTTAATTCGTAATGATTGGCAAAATAATTGCATCTGTAGTGGTATTAGTATAGAAGTAGATTCATTTGAAAAATGTTATTTTCATGAAGTAAATTCTGTTTTGTGTAATAAAATACCAGCGAGGTGCTCATGTGATTGTGTGAATTTAATTAGTTTCAGTCCAATGACGGCAGATATTTGATAACGAATTGAAAGAAATAAATGAACACTACTATTATATACATCAATCAATTCTTAATACACATCAGCAATCTAGCAAAAATAATTTTCACAAAATGATCTATGGTTACACTGTTGAAAATACTAGTTTCCTATGAGGTTTATCATACTGGGAAAAAAATATATAATCATATCGTATATTTGTCATTCGCAATGCAAAATTTTGTTCATACTTTAATTACAATAAAATGAAACTCAACTTTATGAAATAAAAGATTTTGTGCAGGTATTCAATAGAATAGAGTAACAGACAGCACAGATAAGAGTTGTGAGCGGACGAATTTTTGGTTTCGAAATCTATCACAAACATGAGAATTTGTTCTTTGCAGACAAGATTGAATGATTAAATTAATTTTGAATGATTAAATTAATTTTGAATACGATCTCAACTTACTGTTCTACTTTGGTCCTAATTCTACCATGCATACCATATCTACGCCAGAGCAATTTAGGCGAATGTACTTTCATTTTTTTCTTGAGTCATGGCATATAAAATCATTTCTACCATCCATCTTGGAAGGCGAATGAATTCAGGTATTAACATCGCTGTCAAGTGAAAACCTGAGGCATTCATCAAATCTTTTAGACAGAAAAAATCAACTGGTCGTTTTCCTGAAAAAATAAAACTATAATCAGATTCACTTTTGTTGTGATTGAGAACGCAAAATCGCAACGCAAATACGATCGAAGTATTTTTTAAGAAAGTAAATAGGGTATTCAATTCTTGGCCTAGAACATAAGAAAAATTTAATTGCATCAATCGCTTTACTAAATTACCGTCATCAAGTAATGCATGCTCTCGAGCGACATCTGCGGTGAGAATAGTTTTCCCTGTTTTCGACATGATCATTTTATCTAAATTGAAAAAGGGTATAGTTCATTTTTTTAATTTCAAAATGTTATTTCCTGTTTTTAAAGCTATCTTCAGCCATGTAGCGTAAGTCGATGAACTGAAACCTGTAATTTGGGTACAGTTAATAAAGAGTTTACCATAACATTTTTTAACTTTTTTTAATTTGTTTATTTCATATTAGGGAAATTACCTCTAATAAAATACTACTACTTTCCAACAAATTCCACCGATTCACCATGTTCTAGAAATATAGAGCCTGTTGAAAAAAATTAAGAATAAATATAAAGCTTTATGAAAAACAAGCATATGCTCGTCGGAATTTACGAAGAGGCATTTCAAGGGCGTCTGAACTACAATACAGAAAGTTTTTGAGGCTCCCTTTTAATTTTAAGTCAGCAGAATATACAACTATTTATGGCCATTTGTGGTGTGCTAAAATAGAAGTCTTCATGCGTGTGCATATTTCCAATTTATTTGAGCCAAATAAAATCTGGTTCTGAAAAAAGTTATTTTGATAAAATTACTTTAATAAGGTTATAAGTATATTTTGTGACTTCGACTGAGTCAAGCAATACCGTTTAAAATTTACAATTTGGGTACATTAGTTTTTTGTGAGTTTTTAAATTATTTTGTCTCAATTAAAATAGAGTTACCTCTTTCGAAGTGTGAATCCTTGAATTTGATTTGACCGCAGCATTCACAGCATACTCTGTTTTTACTGCAAAAGGCCACAGCGATATAAAAGCGACGTTGTATTTTTTTAAATCAACGGCACAGTCCCTTGCCATTCGATCTAGCTTGAAATATATAATACAAAATCAATCTCCTGTATAAGTCTGTTTACAGTATAAGCTATTTCAATAAGTATATGAAAATAGAGTTGAAACAATCTGAAATATAACCATAGTTTATTGTAAATCGAACAGCATCTTAACATTCAGATGCAGAATTAATATATTAAAAGGGTTGATTTGTTTCCTAATACTGACTATAGATATATAAATCATTATGAAATATTATAACTCTGAGCTAAAAGAAAATGACGAAAGTGGTAATGGCATAAGATGTTCGGTAAGTTGATAAATAGTTAATCTAATACTGTAGCAGTTTAGCTTATTAGCCTTGGTTTTTTCTAAAAACGTTTTTTGTGTAATTTTATGCAAGTTTTATTATTTCTTACCGCATTTTTTCCTAATTCCATACAAAGGTGTTAACATATAACCCAAGCTTCCGACAGAGGAAATATTTTATGATCAGTCCCTTCCTTTTTTAATCATTAATCTCGAACGCTAATACCGTACATCTGAAATTGTTCCTAAAACGGTAAGCTTTTTGGGTATTTTTTTCCTCGGAAGTTTCTCTAAGTTCATAAAAATCTTACCAGATTTACCCCTAATTCATTCAAAAAGGCATTCAGTCGTCTCCTCGTCCGTGATCAGATAAAATGTGATACCTTATCATCAATAGCTCATACATTCCACGTATTCTACTGTTAATATAAATTCTCAGAAATCAAAACCTAACTAACCTTAATCCTACATTGTTAAAGACCTCCCACGAATCATCTGGTTGATCCCAAAATGAAAGTTCTGAGTTATTCGTGATGAACTGTGAAGATATTCAAAATAGTACGCTAGCTTTTTGTATTAAAATATTTTGTAATTGGAGGCTATTTTGTCCCGCTACCATCACATAGAATTGAATCAATTACATCCCAAGATTCAAGTTTTTTTCCTTTTCCACGAATACTGGGTTCATTTTCTCAGGATATAGGGATTAGAAATCTTCAAACATTGGTTAATCAGGAAAGATGAAATATTAAGAACTAGACTTCTTCGTAGAATGTATGTTTTTATTGTAGCAGAACAAATTACATATTCAACATATGTGCGAATAAATCACAGGGAAAATACATAACTTTGTATTATTCTGACACCTTCATGTATTAAATCAATTGTCAAATTAGAATCACGGTTTGTAGTGTCATATGACTTAACTTTTCAGGTACCTGAGATGCAGAAGATGCATTGTTCACGAGAAGATCAAGTCGACCCTGATGATTGTGTTTTATTGTTTGAACATTTTATCCACTTCCTTATCGTTTGCATGGTCACATTCAATCGGGTGTATTCTGCCTCCGCTTTCATTTCCTTCAACCTTTAAAATCATACATGACTTTACAAAATGTTAGGAAGATTATGAATCGCAATAACTGGCCCCATATGGGGTACTATATTATATACGGACATGTATCAAACGCCGATATCCAGGATTGTCCATGGGACATATTTTTCTGTCCCATTCCCATCCTATAGCAATTATAGCACATAGCCTGTCCTCTCCCATCACATGGGATTCTCATGGGAATGAAATTCAATAAAAAATATTAAATTTAGGTTTAGCGTCTACTAAATAGGACTACATGTACGAATAGACATGCAAAACAACAAAATTTACGGAATTTGTTAACTTTATATTCATAACTATTATACATGAGCCCCACATCAGCCCCTCCACGAAGTATATTTTTAATGCTGAATATGTTTTGCTCTTAATAACTAACAAGAGAGCTATGCTCAAATATATGGACACGAAATGTTTTACCATCATTTCTCCGAAAATCATACGGTTTTCGTGTCCCATGGGAAATACAAATGTGTGCTGCCCATGTCATTGGATTCCCATTCCCATGGACAAGCCTGCGATATCTCTGCATCAGTACTGATATTGTTTGTGGCAACTGTTGTTTCACGTTACTTATATCAAAACCCAGTTTATTTTGAGCAATTTTGATGTTCAAAAATGTCAGGTTTGACTTAATGTATAGTTAAGATTCGACTACATGAATGTCAATAGAGTTTGAGAGAATAATCTACGTACAGATATTAACACATTGTTAACACTTGCTGTTTTCATACCTCATTGGCAACAGCTTGTAGCGTTTCCATATTTCTTCCTGTGATGTAAACCGTAAATCCATGTTTTGCTAGTTCCAAAGCGATACCTCGACCTATACCTCTAGAACCGCCGGTTACGATGCATATTCTCTGATAATCCATGGTATATTTGCGAATTTTATATGACTGAGTTTATACAATCTAGTGGTTTCTTCTTTGGATAATAATATATTTTGAACAAACTGTCATTGACTATTTGAATATTGAAGACTTGTCCCGCTTCCAATTTTCTTATCTGTTCTGATCTTTTACTCTGTTTATATTGGACTAGACTGAGTCGGGTTAGGGTTAGTAGTAAAAGTTATTATTACCTGTCCTAAGGTAACCAAAAATGAGCAGAATTGAAAAAAACAGATAGAGAAATTAGTGATGAGGCAATGCCAGGATACGACGTAAGATTGTGTTCAGAAAACGCTTATTTAAACAAATTTATATATTTTTGCAACACATAAATTCACATGTTTGCAAACATCGTTATTTTGACCTAACTAAAGTCTAATTTTGAAGCATTATATTGGTATGATCAATGATATTATAATGTTTTTTCATTTTTTTTTTATATTGAACGAACCAACCTAGTTTAATTAAAATAATATGAAAGGGGTACATTGGCGCAAAAACATTCTGCAGAGCGATATAATTTGAATCATTATTAATGTAGATAGTTAGAGTCTAATGATAGGTTTGGGGATGATTTTAGCTTTGAAAATTTGATGATCAAGCATATATAAGTGAGATTCTACATCAAATAGTTTCTTTTTTGTCGAAGACACCAGAATAATCTATACAAGCAAGGTTAGTGACGAGGCTGCGAAGTCGAGGTATATATATTTACAATCCCTTGAAAAAAAATTTGATTCAGACTCGAAATAGGTGAAATTTTAAATCTGAATTCTGCTCCGAAATGCAGAGAAGCCCAATATTTGACAACACTTAGTGGATTAACCTACACTTGAATTTCTATTTTACAATCATTTAGGATGTAAATCATTTTTCATCACAAAAAGGAAAACAGAGACAAGCTTGATTTTGCGAACTGTGCTGGCTTAAAATAGTAAATTGATTGAAAAATAAAATTGCAAATTAATTGAATCGTAAATTTTTTAAAGGAAAATACCAGGGAATTGTAGAAACTATAACTACTTATCGAAGCACGTAGGAACGTACATAAATAAGTTTGGGGTATAGGCTCACAGAAATTGTAATACAGTTAAAGATAGATGACAACATTTAACATAGCATTAAGTACATAATGAGATGTGAAAATACAGAATATATTAAAACGACACATCCTTCTAATTATTGCTATACATCTATATCCAAAGATTCAATGGTCAATCTAGCTTCAACTGATTTGTACTGCAGACATCCTCAACGTATTTAAATAACAAAACTCAGAATTACTTTACTAAATGATACCGTTGTCGAGTTGTTGTCCCAATGAAGTTTTAATTAAACGAAGCATATGAAGATGTGGCTACGTTTTAACGTAGCCGACGGCGATTCACGCATATAGCATGTTTCATTTGTGATTGAACGTTGCATTGCTTATGACCATTCAATGTTTAAATATGAGTCACGACTAGGCAAAATGTGTGTGTTCCAATAAATGTGAACATTACATCATATCGTGTTCAACTTTCAAATTTTTCTGCTTGATAGGATAAATAATCCCGACCTCATTTGTATTATGGTACCGTGGCTTTTAAATAGAAAAATGAATAATCTTTACACGTTAAATTAGTTATCGATACAAAGATGCAATAAATAAATATTTGATAAATAAATAAATTATTCCCAGACTTAATAGAGGAGGGGTAACCCCTCTTTGTGAAAATGTAATGTTTTGGCGCATAGTACATGCGACATTTAAAAGTAATAAAAAGTATATAACTCCAGATCACAATGATTGAACATCTTAAAAAATGCCTGCATTTCAAAAGATAGTTAATCGCGAAAAGATAGATTTGTTCACAATTTCTGTATCCGAAGGCTTGCGAAATATGGATCTTTTGCGCAAAGCCCTCGACACTAATGTGAAATTTGAGAAAAAAACACCACGTTCTGAAATAACAAATTAGTAATTATACAATTGCGGTTCGGGTTAGAAATGATTTGAGAATTTGAATTTTCGGCGCAATTTGCATTCCTAGACCTCGCCCTGAAACCGTAACTAGATTATTTTTCTTTATTTCTTGTGGAAGCGGTGGTGTTTTCTATGGCGGGGGCTTTGTACAAAATATCTCGAAATACTTATATACAGTGGTGGGATTCAATTTTTTTGTCAGTCGGTTCCATCACAAAAGTCATATTTTTCACCCGTGACAGTATTCAGTAATGATAACCGGTTCACTGGTCTCATAAAATTCCGTGAGACGGTTCTATAGAGTTAAACTTCAGCATGCCCTCAGTAAATGGTGCTAGCTATACATGTATAAATGCGTAAAACCAGTAAACAAACGCGAATGAAATGGATATATAGGCTGTCAATGGGTAAACCCGCCCAGTATCGGTACTCAAGGCGACATTTAGCGCCGCAGTTGGCGCGCATATTTCATAGACTATAACGTTTGGCAGAATGTCTGGTCTGAGAGGGGAAGACGCCAGCGGAAAAAACACGCCACTAATATTTTAATGTACGGTTATCAAAAATCTGACCATGTTTATCGTCATAAAAATATCGAAAACTATCTAAAAAATCACTCTATATATAAAACTGCCCACGTTACAACGAAAGATAACTAGAAAATCACAGAAAATGCAAATTTCTGCCCTGGTGATGACATTCCCCATAAGAGCTAATGTTAAAAATGTTTGTTTACGTTCACTTTTATTTTGCGCGTAGGATGGGTTTGGAATGACTATGGTCTATTAGGCAAGCCACTTGTGAAAGAGCCCACTTTTTGTACAGATAAATGTTTGTCTGTGTGTTGTCGGGTATTGAATTTCCAGTTGCGCGCAAAGCATTAATTGACGACTGATCCGAGTCTGTTCAGAATGTCTTGCTTATTAATTTAATTGTGTTTAATTTAATTGTGGGGAAAAAAGAACATTACTACGAAATATCACGGTCATTAAAAGTGTTTCAGACCTCGGGAATATCTAGTTTTGATGCATATTTTTGCGATGTTAATAATTATACAAATTTGATATGTTCTTCCAACACTGACTTTCCTTTTTACAGTGCTACCACCCAAGATTATTTCAAGATACAAACGTTAGCGAAATCCCTAGATCTGCCATAAAATATCAAAGACTACAATTTATTTTAGTGCAATAAAAATTGATTGTACAGTGATAGCTCGATAGTCGACCAAAGCATTCGAATCAAAAATGCTGCGGTATTCGAACGGAAATTGGGATCCTCAACCGAGCGTAGCTCGAGGCCGAGTAAGATGACGCCACCCGAAACAGAACTCGATCGATACAGGTCAAGACTGACAGACGAAAATCTTGGCATGCAATTGAGAGTTTCCAAATCGTTAATTCGTTCAGTAAAGCCAAAAACAATTCCCAATTGAAACAGGCATTTTATATGGTTTTTATTTTTATTATATGCTGCAATATATCATTAAACATATTCAGCTGATGAATGCAGTTGTTCTTTTATCATAATATCAGGTAAATAGTATGACTGAAAAGTTGTGAGGCCCGCTCCAAACATACCAAAAATAAGCTGTTGATAATCATTCAAATGTGAGAAAAGAATTTCAGTACTCTGCCAGTAGCTATTTTTTGCCTAGCTCTATAACAAAATCAATCTATTCGTGTTCCAAACGCAAAGCCTGTTCTATTGTGCGAATGTGGCATAATTAACACTTGAAATAATGCTTCCGATGTTCGGGTTCGGAAAAAAATAATTCGTATATATGTGTATATTGTAATTTTTGAAACATATACAAATGTTAAATTCGTTTATGATGTGTTTACACATCGAACAGAGCTTTGACCAAACAGTCATAAATCCAGTTGAATACAAAAATTCTGATACTATTCATTTATATTACGGTTTTTCCAATTTCTGATTAATTGCCAGTTAACTAATAAGAGAATAAATGGTAAGTAACCTGGTATGGAAATTGTTGGATCTGAGATAATATACTGTTAGAAAATAATCAATTAATAAAGCTTCACGCCCTTAGCCTGTAAATTAGGTTAGCAACGTCGTACAAAGTACGTATTGTTGTATGGTATCGACATCCTGTTACTCAACAAAGGGCAAACAGACCACCGTTATAATGGAGTTGTTCGTATAGTACAGGGGTCGGGAACCTTTTTGGTCAAGAGAGCCCTAAAATATACATATTTTCAATTGCATTTCCGTGCGAGCCATATAACATTTCTTCACTTAATCAGGCCTGAAACGTTTACTCAAAAGTCAACACATTCCATGTCAATATACATTTAATGTGACTTCTGATGCTGCATGTTGTCGCTGCGGGCCTTGAACTGTTGCTCACATGCAGCCCAAGTTGAAACCTACGATACTCATCACCCTTTTTCGCTTAGGCATCTCCGTAGTATTTTAAAACTCTATCGCTTTGTGATGTCACAATATATGTTCCAGAATCCCCATGTTTTGTCACAATGCCTGTCTGGTAATTCTCTTAAATAACATAGACATGCGCTGGGCCCGCGTTGTCAAACGTATTGTGGAATTTTTTTTGCCAAATTTGGCCATAAAATGTTTGAAGTCTAGTAACAATAGTAAGCTTAATCTTAGGAATAATAGATTTTTCTGGAGCTATATGCCGTCACCAAAAGAGCCATATATGGCTCGCGAGCCATGGGTTCCCGACCCCTGGTATAGTATATGGCTACGGTGTAAACTTTGATCTTTCTCAGATTACTACAATTTTGTGGCCGCGGTTTGGTGTAGAAATATGCTCAGTTGGAAAATCTTGTACAAAAACTTGTTATATTGTCATTAAAAATAGCGACAGTAAAAATGCCATTAAGGTGGACAAAAGCGTTCCATTTGGAATATGAGTTTTGGAAAATAAATTTCAAACACCTGGCACAAGATACTATATTAAATAAATCACTGGCTCACTAGTATAGAGGACAAGAAACCGACAACGATGGAAGATGCTTTTGAAAGCATTTGCTGTGGAATCATGACAGACATTTTAAGAACAATCAGCAATAGGAATGAATTGCTGGGAATGGCCATATAGACGTTGGCCATTATTGACCCAATGTGGCTTCTTTTACGTCACAGCATTTGATGTTGGGTAATTTATTTTTCATTAAATATCACCTATACTATTGTACATCAGAAATATTAAAAACGTCTTTTCGATAACAACACTAACCAAGTA